ATTCAACTAATTAATGCGTGTTTATACAAGTGGGAGGAAACCAGAGCACCCGGAGAAAATCCACCCGAGCGAGGGTGCAACGCTCTATCCCCGTACAAATGGAAACAGTGCACTTTACCGCCCTCTCCTGGCGAGCCAGGGTACGGCACCTCCTTGACGCCCACGGGAAAGGAGTTTTGCAACATCTGTCCGGTGATCCAGCAACCCTCGTTGCTGTTCGCACAACATTGGCTCACAGGCAGCCACGCGCCAGTATAGCGACCAAGCCCGGCTAACATACCTCGGATGTCTCCCAGGCTGTCTGATATGAGTGTTGCAGCCGTGTTAATGGGACACAAAGAAAAAACAATTGTTTGTTTAACACGTAGGCTGTCTGTTTGTGTAACACGTAAACGGTTGTCACGCGTTCATTCTGCAATACCCTCGAAGGTGGGGAGGGGGGGATGGGTGAATATTTGCACATTCCGACCGTAATCGGGCAACATCGTCCCCCGCCCGCAGATGGAGGCGCTGGAGCTGAGCTCGGAGCGGCTGGCCGACTACCGGAGCCGCGCCTTGGAGCACGGCGTGAGCGGCCGCGCTCTGCTCCACGGCACGGAGGAGGAGGTCAGGAGGGCGCTGGGGATGGAGGCGCTGGGCGACTGGGCCACCTTCCGGGACCATTTCCTGCGCCTCTTGGCCGACCACCAAGAGACGTCCCAAGACGCGTGGCACCGCGAGCTGCGCGACGTCTGGATGGCGCGGTGGCTCAAGTGAAGGGGGGTGGGGGGGCAGCACGGCGGTTGAGTTGCTGCTACGGCTCTACCCGCCCGCCCTGTCTTTGCACCCTTTGCAGCTGATGAGTGGGTGAAAATACGTGGGAAGTTTTGTAATCCACAGGGATGGGGGGTCCACAATGGCCAGTAATACATGTTGGTTAATATATATGCAAAATCTAATAATTATTTATATAGACTTGAGTCGTTCATGCAAATTACACCTCACACTCACTGAGGAACCACAGACCAAGTTAGAAGGATTCCAGCCGGTGAGCTGGCGCCAGAAATAGCTCTGAAGTTCTCTATATATTAAGATGTTTTCAGCCAATTCGTGTTTCTACATGTGGAAGGAACCCGGAGGGCCTGGAGGAAACCTACGCATGCGAGGGGGCAACACACTATTCCCACGCGAAGAGAGTTTCACAACATCTGTGTGAGCGATCCACCCAACCCTAGTTCCCATCAGTGAGCCGGATGACAGGCCACGTGCTTAGCAGAGGTCACAATCGGGTACTCGATACCCGTACCCTACCCGATACCCGGCTACCCGTACCCGGCCGGGTACGGGTACTCGTTTGCGACCCTGGAGCGGCCGGGTACGGGTAGGCCGAGAGTCACTGGTGAGTAACCGTTTGTCACTCATTTCCCAACGTCTTGTCTCTTCTCACAATTCAAGTTCCTAGAATCAACCCACCCGTGCCTGCAACATGGCTTCATCCCAGAGGTCGCAATCGGGTACCCGATATCCGTACCCTACCCGATACCCGGCTACCCGTACCCAGCCGGGTATCGGGTACGGGTAACCCGTACCCGGCCGGGTACGTGTACCCGTTTGCGACCCTGGTGCGGCCGGGTACGGGTAAGGAATCAAAACCCGTTTGCGACCTCTGGTGCTTAGCCAACACCACCCGGCCAGATGTGTGATGTAGGACCATTACCCGAAACGTCAAATGCAGAGTATGGTTTTAAGGCGACGATGTTATTAAATAAGTCGCGAAAAATAACAAAAACAGAGTGCAGCTTGTTCTTGGGCCTAAAAACCCATCCCAATGCTTAATGGTTCCCTGCAAATGACTGAATTGGGATCACACGTTGCAACATCGCCTGAAAAAGAATTGAGACTCGGTCAGACTCTCCTGGGCAAACAAGTGGAGCAGTAGATAATACAAACAATGACAATGATACGTCTTCTTGGTTCTTTCGGTAAAGTCACGTAGAATGGAAATAATGAAATAAAAAAATAAAAAATAAAACATAACAGGTCTGTCAAAAAGACAGACTCTGCCTTCTCGACAGACCTGTTCTCCACCTGAGGACGGCTGCTTGCGCTTGTGGCCGAAACGTTGTGAAAATAATTTTATTATGTTTTAGTTTAATTTTTTATTATTTTATTATTTCCATTCTACGTGACTTTACCGAAAGAACCAAGAAGATGAATCCCTGCAGTCACGAAAGCTTTAAATCGAAAAATGAAATGATAATAAAAACACGTACCTTTTCTTTTTCGTGCGCACAAATGTGTGTTTAATTTAATGGTAAAAACAAATACTCATTCATAAATAAGCACATTCCAATAGAGCAACACTGTCGAGATATATCTGATTATACGTACACATACTGTGCAGATAGTAATTATATGACTGTCTGATGCCCAATACTGGCAAATGGTAATGTAAAAAAAAAAATACTCCTTCAATTAACAGTGATATAACATTAATTAAAGCAACGTTAAATCTACATTTGAAGCTTTGGTGACTGCAGGAATCCATACTCTTTGGTTCTTTCGGTAAAGTCACGTAGGAAAAAATAAAATAAATCACGACGTTCGATTGCAACGCAAGCAATCATCATCAGGTGGGAACACCACAGCAAAAAAAAACATTTTTCACTTTTTTTTTCACACTTCAGCAAACAAAATTTTTTCTTGCTGTGGTTTTCCCACCTGATGATGATTGCTTGTCTTGCAATCGGGACGTCGTGATTTATTTTGTTTTATACCGACGTGACTTTACTGAAAGAACCAAAGAGTACGTATAACGTTAATCGCGTCCGTTTCCTTCACACTAACGAAGCGGGCACCGGGCGAAGTGCGATTCGGGTTCACGTGGTTACGCGTCTCCATCTCGAGACACCGACATCAAGGTGGTGTCACGGTGGCTAGGAGATTTTCACTGCCTCGCCTGGTATACAGGAGGTCGTGGGTTCGATCCCAACCCTGAGGCCTCTTGTATATTGGGAGTTATTGAATGTTCTCCCCGTGATCTCTTGGATTTTTCTCCAGGTCCTTCAGTTTTCCCCTTCACATTTAGAATCGGCGTTCGTGTGGAGTATTTGGCTGCTATAAACGACCAAGCGATAAGCCACTTTATTGAGATATAATTTGCGGTCGCTTCTGAAAAAGAGCTATATAGCTCAGTGGGCCTTACCTGGTAAAATAAAAACAAATAGTTTACAGGGGAATTTCAACAGGGTCGAGCCATTGGACGCGTGCGTAATGCCGGTCAAGCTATTCGGACGCAAGTTGTGATGTGGCGTGTTCACCGTGTCAGGTTCAGTGACCGTCCCTCCTCCACTGTGAAGCAAGAGATGTACGTATGGATGTGCATTGAACTTCTTTCATACCGTACGTAGCCAACCGTGCTAGTCAGGTGCGGTGGAAAGATAACAAAGTAAACACAAAAAAACTCTTCTAAAGAAATGAGGTTTCCATCTAGATGATTTAAAAGTGCATAGCTCCAGTGGCTTCCTAATATCGGAAGGAAGAGCGTTCCAGACGGCCGCAAAAGCGCCGCTCCATTGGAAGAGACAAAAAGCGGCGGCATTAACTTAAGTAAATACGACGTGGCCCTGACATCGGGTAGTCTCCGATCAATATTCTACTGCGGTCCTATTCGTACTGTTTTCTCGCTGAGAGATCGTGCGTACCTACGAAAGTATATTTTATACGTTTAATTCACCGCTCGCTGTCTCTTCCCGCAGAGCTGCGACTCTGCGGCTCCACGGTGATGGAGGCTCGCACAACCTGAACCACAGGAACACTCCAGTGTACGTCGCGTGTGGGGATTTTGCAATCGCTGTTACGATTAATCATTGTTTTTTGGGTCAGTTCGCCGCGTAAGTAAAACGTTGCATCGTAAACCCTCCACAACCTGACACAGCCAATTAATAAAGTTGTCACGTGGTGAATAAACGACCCATTTATTACTGAATAGGGGGTTTACGGCACGGATTTACGTCGTGATTTGAAGTAAATTATGAGTCGTCATAATTGCGTCTGATAGAAGCTTGACCTCGATTTGGCTGCTATAAATTTCCACGTGATGAGCCACTTCATTTGTGGCCACGTGACTTACGAGAATCAAGCTGATCGCTCGGTGGGCTTTACCTGGTAAAATAAAAATAAAATTTGATTTAAAGCTTTCGTGACTGCAGGGATTTTACCGAAAGAACCAAGAATAAAAGAAAAATAGTTTAGTTTTTTTTTTGGTGGTTTTCAATACTTTTCACTTTTATTGTGTTTTTGTACTGTTTGCTATTGTGACTTTTCGTCCCACTCCAACTGGACATCTCTGAAAAAGAGCTTTATAGCTCATCAGATTCATCCAGTATAAATAAAGATTCTAATTCTGAAAACCTCGTATGTTTTTATTTTTAGCGTGCGTGTGCGGTGTAATGCGTCACTGCACCTTCCAACACCGGGTCTCTTCCACAGAAACGTGTCACTATTATACATTGGGCATGTGTGATGAATCACACCTCCCCCCACCTCTCTGCTGCCTCCACAGCGGTGGTTCACAGGCAGCAGTCACGTGTAGTAGCAGTCGCGTGCAGCAGCAGCAGCAGCGCCACCGCCACCGCCCAGAAAGCAGTCGGCTTTTGTTGAGTGGCAGGCGGATGAAGGGGTGATGCGAGTGAATTGTTAAGTTCATTGTGCCGCGACATGTGGAGAGATGCCCGAATAAAAAACTTTATATGTATACGGTAAAAAGTTGATTGTAAAGTGTTCCAATTAAGCTCGCGTGGAATATCTTTCAAAGAGAAATACATATGCGGCTTATGGACTTTCTGTTTATCAATGTATGTATGTTGAACGCCTTTTGCACCAACTGTGCTAATCAGAGCCATGGGAAATTATACCTTTCGATTCGGAATTGCGCGTCAGTAAAATAAGCAAACATTTTTCGCGTAGTTTTTACCTCCCCGTTGGCATTGTTTCGCATTGGCTGCAGGCCTCGCATGAAGAATTCCGTTCACTCCACCATCCTCGACGTTAACATTTCACGCCATTTCTCATTTGCATCTTATTTGCATAAATCGCACGTGATCGATCCTTGCAGAGCACGGCTCGGTGCACGCACGTATCACAAACTTGATCATTATCGATCGATCGTGACCTTCCCACAGACGCACCATTATAGTAACAACAATAACAATATGCAGGGTGCTTCAAAATATGTTAACACTTATATGGGACTATCTTTTTTTAATGGCAAAAGAACGGATAATAATACACTGTAAGATGATAACAAATGTATGATATGAATAGCTTCAAGAAGTCAAAGAGTCTCTACTTCTTTGCCATCATTGTCAAGACACGCCTGGAATCTTCTCCAGGTAGTTTCCCAGAGCACATGCCTTGTATTGTTGCAAATTCTCAGAAGTGTTAACATGTTTTTGAAGCACCCTGTATTTACAGGAAATGTATTAATCCACTGCTGGATGAAGAAAGCTCCCCCCTGTGCCGTGTCGGGAAAAGGAGTTTTTCGGCCATACTTCTCCACGCTGGTCACTGCCCGTTGGTAAAGGCGCCGTCGCATGCCCACTGATTGAATATCGCGCCAAGTTGAACCGTCGATCTTAAATAATCAAGGCCAGCTTGAGAGAGAGGACAATGTTGCGGTGGAAAAATGAGTCAGGCCCTGCGAGGGACACCTCGCCAAGATGATCATGGTTGATGAAGAGACACGGATCAGATCAGAGACTCAGTTTCTTCAATAAATAATTTCCAGTTTGCTGGTAGAACGAAGTAGTCATGGAACTGGTAGGGGACATATCGCTACAGCGGGAGATACACAGATGACCTACTGGACATCTGTGAAAAAGACCTTCATAGCTCATCGGATTCCTTCAGTGTTAATAAAGATTTTGATTCTGGATGTTGCGTGCCTGGTGCAGAAGTATTATTTTCTGGATCGCTGAAAACGGAGGCCACGCACCGGCTGAAATTAAGCCCTGGGCCCGGAGTGGAACTCGCGCTCTCGACGAATTAGGGGTGAGCGTGGAGGATGTAGTCGAGCAGCCTCTGCGGCAGGGGCAGGGTGCGCAGCTGGCGCAGGCGGTGAGAGCCGACGGAGGCTCGCACGCTCACACGGCACAGGTGAGCGAGGGTGCGCGGGTTGTCTGAAACGAGAGGAAGTTCAGCGGACTGTGATCATCGTCGTCGTCGTCATCAGCAGCAGCAGCAGCGTCAGCATCATCATTGGCAGAAGAAGAATTGTCATCAGAAGAATTGTCATCAGTAGAAGCGTCGTCATAATGATTGCCAAGAGCTGAAGCCATCAACACTACCAATCACGAGCACTGTATCACCATGTATGTATGTCGAACTTCATTTGCACTGTACGTAGCCAACCGTGCTAATCGGGAAATCAGCGGAAGTAGACGCATAATTTTCAACAACAGCAGCAGCAGTATCAATATTACCAACCACTCGTATCATAATTATCATTATCAGCAGAAGCATATCACCAGTGTCAAACAACCAATACGGCTTGGGGAGGCCTTCATTCAGCTGTAGATAGATCACGGTCGACAATGATGATGATGGTGGTGGTGACGAATGACGAAAACCGCATTTCTGTGCTGGAAGGATGCTACGGCGCCGGAAGCGAATTGCCGGTGACAGCTTGGGAGAGGCAGCGAGGAGAGCCGCACCGCGGGCAGGGGACCTCACCCGTAGCCTGAACGATGCTCGCCCACTCGTCCCGATCGCTCAGCGACTTGCGGAGGTGGCGGCAGAGGCGGACGCTGCCCACGTAGTCGAGCAGGGCGGCCACGACCAAGGCCCCCTCGCTCGCTCCCTCACCCCCGCCAGAGAACATCTCGCAGAACTGGGGGCAGCGACAGCGGCGGCGAAGACACCGACAGTGACGACGACGACGACAACGACGACAATTTAGGATTCACGTGGAAAACGCCAGAGCGTGGATTTTGTGAACGAAATTAGCGACGAAAACTCTATCGACAGCGTCATCAACTCACGGCGCAGAGACTCCATTTACGATGCGTCTTCCGTCACGACTCTGAACGCAATTCGAATGGGGTCGGTCTGGTTCACGACGCGACTTTGGCGTGGATCTTGTGATTATTCTCGAGTATTTTTTGTGGATGTTCACCGATGAAACCCTGTTCAATGCGGCCGATAAAAGGATAAAAACACATCGGCAAGTGACGTGTCTTACCGTTTCTACTGCCTACAGGAAAAGACGGTCCAATTGTAACGTCGTAAAAGCGGGGACTGCCTGTACTGTAATATCAGGCAAGACTGACTGCGAGAGAGACTCAATGACATCCCAAGACTGGGACTCGATGGAAACTCCACGGGCTGTCGACCGCTGAGTCTGTTGCTAAAATATAAAATGTGGATTCAATTACTAAGACGGTTCGGGGGGGGGGGGGGCCGGGGGGGGCGGGGGTGGAGGAGGGGTGGGAGGCCCCAGCCCGTCCACTGGGGTCACCTGCAGGGGTCGCGCCTCTTCACGGCGGGGGTTCGCGACCGGCTCCAGGCGGCACCTGAAGCAAGCGGCGGCGTCGCATCCGGCATCCAGGAACATCTGCGCGGCACACGACGACCCACGTTCGATCATTCTCAGGGTGGATTTTCAGCCGGAGCTCAGGAACATATGCCCTTATCAACCCCACCCCCTCCACTGCTAAATTCCTAAAATAAGTAGAGAGTGGAGGGGGAGTTAGGGGTTTGTGGGGGAGAGTCTGTTGTAATATTCCATGAGTTATTAAGATCCAACCACGTGTGTCTTGAATTAAACGCCACTGTAGACGCACGGGGAAGAGATGGGGGGGATGGAGGAGTTCGAAAGCGAGCAACAGAGAACCGCTGATGACAGCTCGGAAACTTTAGAGCAAGAGACGACGGTGGGGCAGGGGGAGCAGGAGAGGGAGGGCGCCGTTGCATTACGCGGTGTGCGAGACGGAACGCAGTGGTGGAATCCGTCCTTAACATGGGCAGAGGCAAACACGCCGGGAAGTTCGCGAGCGCCAATAGCAGGCAGGGGCAGGAGCGATGCATGAGCCACTCGGAGGCGACCGGGTGACAAATGCGAGAGGGTGGTAGGAATGAGTTATGGTGCAGTGGCGTCGCTATTGAGTGTGCAGTTGCACAAATACTGGGGGGGGGGGGGGGGGGGCGCCTTACTGGACTGGCTACGAAGAGGGCTGAAACTGGACAAGGTGGGTGGAGAAAGGTGGGGTAGGGGGATGGATTTTTTGTGGAGGGAGGGGACTGAATTCCTAGCACCAGGGCCCATGCCAGCCACGCTGAGCCGCGGGGGGGGGGGGGGGGGGGGCTCGGATCAGCCGAGCCTCTCCGCCTTCAGCGGGACCTTCTCGCTGCACGTGCCTTGAGCATGGCCGGGTGGCCTCTCGCCAGCGCCACCACCACCGGGAAGGCGCAGGAACCTCCTCCACCTCCTCCACCTCCTCCACCTCCTCCACGCCCGCAACCCCCCGCTCGGGCCCCGGCCCCCCAGTCCGCGCCACCCTCCAACAACAGCTGCACGGCGCCGGCGTCGCCGAGACGCGCGGCCGTCACGACGGGCGGCTCGGGGTCCCCGCGGGGGTCTCCGTCGGGGTCCGCCCCGCCGGCCAGCAGCAGCCGGACGCAGTCCTCGCGCCGGGCGAAGACGGCGGCATGCAGGGGGCTCCGAGCCGTGGCCCCCCCACCGCTTCCGCCGGCCCCGTTCCCTGGCCCCCCGGCCCGGCCATCGCCATTGGGGCGGTAGCCGGCGGAGAGGAGCCGGCGCAGGGCCCCCGCGTGGCCCCCCAGGGCCGCGGGGAGCAGGGGGCTCGAGGGGGTCCGGCGCACGCACGCTCGCGATGTGGCGGGCAGCAGCAGGTCCAGCAGCCTGGGCGGACATGGAGGACAATCATCGCCATCATTGGCAACAGCAACTCAAGAAGAAGAATCAGCAGCAGCAGCATCATTGTTAGCATCATCATCGTCACAATCACCATCAGCAGCAGTTGCAACGCCCAGGACATTATCAGTCAGGCTCCCACAATTTGAGTTTATCATCGTCATTATTATCGGCCATGAGATCTCCACTGCTGGATGAAGACCTGCCCAAGAAGTTGCCATCTCTCACCACGGCCTTGCGCTGTAACGATCCGTCCATGATGTCGGCACACGAGCATTGCGTCGCTTCCATCTCCTCGGCAGAGGTGGAGCGATGGGCAACGGCAGAGAGTGAGGGGGACAACGACCGTGGCAGTAGCAACGGAGTGACAGGGAGCTGACTCAGCGACGGCGAGGGAACGACTGGAGAGTGTAGAGCCAGTGGCGCTGTGGTTCGCACGCTTGCGCTACGAACCGGGGCAGCCCGCTTGTGATTCCGACGCACTGCCGCGACTGGCCGGCATCGTGAAAGTATGACCGTAACAGCGCCATGTTTCACTCTCCACTCACTCGACGCAGCCCTGCCCGGCCGCTTCGTGCAGGGGCAAGACGCGCTGCATTGCGTCTTTGCCGGCTGCGCCCACTCCACGTTCCCGTGCCGGGGCCCGGACGTCCGCGGGGATGTTGGCGTCGGCCTCTCCGCGGATCAGCAGCATCTGGGCAGCGTCCACGTGGCCTCTGCGAACGGCCTCGAGCAGCGGCGTGCCCCCGTCGCTGGCCTGCGCGTTCACGGCGGAGCCTGTGGCCACCACGCAGAGGAGGAGGGCGGTGGTAGTGGTGGTGCAGCGGTTAGCGCGCTGCGCTACAAATACAGTCACCCGAGTTTAATTCCGGCTCATGGCCAACACCGGGGACGAATATTTGAACCGGTTTTGGGCCTCCCCTAGGTCGACTCAGCCTCAAACGAGTACCCGGTGCGGTGTGTGAATGTCGCCACAAAGGCGGCCGGCATGGTGCTGGCCACCCACCCCCTCGTGTGCCGTGCGGGCCTTCATAGGTGCTCGCTAACAGCACTTGGCCCAACAGTCTGTTAAGGCTATAAGGGGGATCGTTGTAATTGGTGTCGCCAGTGGCAGTGGAAGAAGTAGGAGCAGCAGCACAAGGCAGTATCAGAAACATCGTCATCATCATCATCATCAAGCAAGCATCATTGTCGTCAGTCGAAGCAGTATCAGTGGCAGCAGAGGAAACAACGTGATGAAATGTCATCATCAGTCATCAGGAGAAGCAAGAGCAGTGGAGGAGCAGTAGTGGAAATATCATCATCATCATCAGCAGCAGAAAGAGCATCATCATCATCAGCAGCAGACACACCGTCAGTAGCAGCAGCGGCAGAGACATCGTCACTCGTGATAGTTGCGGTGTCCGGGAATGGAACTCAAAACGCAGGTTCGCAAACGTTCCTGCATAAACCCTGCACTGCCTCTAGTTCCAAATACAACATGGACATCGACATAGCGTCTCCACGCGAGCGCATCTGTAGACACCGTACAGAAACAGCGGGCATATTTATTTGTAGGAAACAGAGAGGGAGAGAGAAGGTGGCCAGTCTTGAGGCTGAAGAGGAGGTTACGGGGAGGCGACGTTCTGGGGGGAGAAGGACCCAGCTCCTGTCAACTCCCAGTGGCGAGCCACTCCTCGTGACTCCGGATTGAGTCGGCTACCGATTCCGTTTCGGACCGAGTCCGTTTTCCAGTTGCGTGTGGGAGATTGGGATCGCGCAGGACAGACCACACCAAACGCCTCGAACATCAGCAGGCGGCGATTTTCGTTAAGGCTGATGGCAAAGTGGCGAGATGTTAACTTCCTCGCCTGATTTACAAGAGGTCGTGGTTTCGATCCCGACCCTGACGCCTGTATATTTGGATTTTGCATGTTCTCCCCGTGGTCGTGTGTAATTTTCTCCGGATTTTACCTCCACATTTAGATACATTCGTTTCGAAATTTGGCCTGCTATACATTTCCACATGATAAGCCACTTCGTCGAGCTATCATTTGTGGCCGGGTCGCTTCTGAAAAGAGCTATAAAGCTAATGGGAACCTTACCTGGTAAAATAACATCGTTTAGTTTAAATCCGCGACTGAAAAAAGAATTCGTATATTTAAAAAAAACGTGTGATCGATCACAAACGTCACCGCTATTTGTCGCGTGAAAAAACAATAACGGATCCGCTGACGTTCCGTCGCCTCCTGGTGGCCACCCACGGAGGTGTAAGCAACGTGGCCGCCGTTCTCACGGACTCAACTTCTTTTTCGATTTAAAGCTTTCGTGACTGCAAGGATTCATCTTCTTGGTTCTTTCGGTAAAGTCACGTAGAAGGGAAGTAATAAAATGATGAAAAGAAAACATAAAATAATTCTCACGACGTTTCGGCCACAACGCAAGCAGCCGTCCTCAGGTGAAGACCAGGTCTGTCGGGGAGACAGCGTCTGAAGTTGTCAGATCCATCCAACCCACCGGCATCGATGAGACACCGCACCGCCTCCACGTGGCCGCGCTGCGCTGCGTAGTGCAGCGCCGTGAGGCCGCGGCAGCAGCCGGATGCCAGCAGCGGCGCGCGGGACCCGGGACCCGCCCTGGGCTGGGGCTGGAGCCGAAGGAGGAGGGCGAGGAGCTCCGTAGAGCCGCGTGCCGACGCGGCGTGGAGCGCAGTGGAGCCGCGCGCGCAGCGCTGCGCCGGGTCGGCGCCAAACTCGAGGAGCAGCGAGGCGGCCGCGAGGTCCCCGCGCTCGCACGCTGCGCACACGACACGCGCGCGTGTGTGCGGCACGGTTTAGCTCGTTCGGTGCGGTGGAGGAGGCGGAGGGGGGTGGCGGGAGGGCGCAGGTTGGGGCGTGGATACCGTGCAGGACAAATTTGGGACATCAGCGGTGCTTTGCGGCAACAAGACGCAGCACACGCAACGTGCGACACGTGCCTTACGGACACCGCTTTGGCCAGACGTTCAGTTTCATTCGGTTATCACCTGGTTGTTAATAAAATATATAACTGTAGATCCTTTAGCAATAACTAGGCGGAGTCCTTTCATCCTAGCGGCACCTTCGTCTGATCAAATGAGGCCCAGGCATTGATTCGGCAACCCAGCGATTGTGTGCTGTCCTCTCCCCCAATGTTATCCTGGATTGCGCATCTATCGTTGTCATGGGACGAGATGATAAATCCATTAGAAACTCTGAGAGAGCAGCTCCAACCACCTTCCCGCGTGAGAGAATGGCGCGCGCGGAAGCGGGCATCACAGAACTGCTTCCGAGGACCCTTTAAAAGCGACGTCTGAATCGACGCCGTAGAGGGCAGCACCTCCCCAGCCACACTAGGAGTCATGTTCGTTGCATGGCAGTCAAGCCTTACCCCCCTCCCTCCTCACCCTGCCCTCCGCTTACCCCCCTCACCTCTTCGCACTCCCACCCTCCCCTACACACCGGAGTAGAGCGGGGTCTCCCGGTTGTTAGCGCAGATGTCCGGGTTCGCGCCCCCCTCCTCCAGCAGCAGGCGCATGCAGGCCACGTGACCTCGGCGAGTGGCGAGCAAGAGTCCCGTCTCCTCGTTGAGCGTGCGGCGATCCACCCAGCCTGGGAACTCTGGGAAAGGGGAGTGGGGGGGGCACAGAAGAGGAGAACGTGCGAGTTGCAGGGGGGGGCATTGGTGGTGTTTTGATAGTACAGAGGTAGACTGATGGCCTTAATCTAAGTTGTCTTGTGGTTGTTGTTGTTGTTTGACTTGCATCCCACTGCGATATTTGCACAGGGTTGGTGTACGGTGATTTTTCTGCAATATTTAGCTGTCTTTTCTTGGATTTTCTGTTTGCACATAGTCACTTTAAGATGTTTTCTTGTTCATGTTTATTTGTTTGTTGCGGTTGCACCCGATTCAAGAGCCGAATGGCTCACAGGGCTATACCTAATAAATTAACTTTGAAACTGTGAAACTTTGATTGCAGCGAAATTCATGTGCGGAGTGATACGCGAGTTGCACCGCCCTCTGCTAGGTAAGCGTGAGCCCGCTCCTCCCTTCCCGTTGCCCTAGTTAGTTGATTAAGTTTGTTGAGCCATCTGGCCAGGATTGGGCAAACCTGAGCGCACTTTTCACCCAGGCGACTGGAGGGCCCAGAACAAGGTGTTCGTGACCAACATTCAAATTAGCACGGACACATTTAAGAATCATTATTAAAGCAGGGACGAGTGCAAAAATAATAATAATTGTTTACACCATTGGTACCTCATTTGCGTCATCTGGTCCAACCCATGTGAGACTAGGCTCTAAGGAAAGCTGTCTCGGGTGTGGACCAATCAACTTCAAGGACAGTGCATACATTATCAGAGTTATGTTTTTTGTTTGCATTATGACTGCAGGTGTTGTGGTCAATGCAAACATGACTCCTCGTAAAAAAGGTGTCAGTTTCGTTGCCAGATAAAAGGGTAAAAAAAAAGTTATTATAATAATAATTGGTTTTACCCTTGCTAACAATACAACAGAAGGTGTTAAGATGTTCAAACACCAAATAGATAGCTACTGCAGGGCGCCAAGTGTGCATTAACCACACGTACTTGTGGCAATACATGCAAACAAACGTGCTCTGATAACAAAATAAATGTCGTCCAAGTTGACTAATTCTGGGTCACTGAGAATGAAAACGATGCTTAAAATTGTTGATTGGCTCTAGTTTTCAAGACATGCTACTGGGTCAGTATATACGACCCTTGCCTTGGGAATGGCGGAGGATAAGTGAGTTATAAAGGAAAGGGATCTCAATTTAAACCAGAAATTACTCAAATCCATCTTTGACTGGATCTATGAATAAATCTACGACTGGGTTTGGACAGTACTTGCTTTTTGAGCAAAACAATGAATGATGCAATCTGAAACTGGTATTGCATCATACATGATATGAAATTATGCATATAAGAAAATATATGCATCATTACAATTTGTATCAATTCTGACTTGTGAACACCTGACTTATTGTAAGAGAGGGTACAGCCTATTCTTATTTTTTTCTATCATTATTTTGACAATGGAAAAAAGGTCCCATAGATAGTAGGGCTGGGTGCGATCCTACATTTTTTCCCTCCACATTTTTTAGATTCAACATCACGCGTTTAGAGTATCTCTTGGTTGCTATCAATGTCCACGGGATGATATAGCCCCTTGGTTGAGCTATCATTTTGTGGCCAGGACTATTATGAAAAAAAAATAACAACTATATAACTCAGTGGGCCTTGGCTGGTAAATAAAAAAATAGTTTAGTTTAGAGTGCGTTCAGCATGCGGTTGGGGACGTCACAGGACAACGCAAGGCTCGCTGGGAGAACCGATCATGGGAGCCCACAACAGCGGCTTCCTCACTCCCAGCCGCGTGGACTTCTCTGGATCATGGGATTTCTCACGATTGACGCAAAACGTGCGTTATAATTTGCGTATCTTTCATCATCATTAGAATTTTCAGCAGTGGCAGCCATGGTCAGTCCAATGCTGCGATGTCATACTGATCCACCCAGCACACCTGCACACGAGCTGAGCTTATTGATCCATTTCCTTAAATCCATCTGTGCGGATATTTTGAGTGCTTTACCCCCCCTCGTATTCTCGCTTTCTGCTTCCTCCCGCATGCACGCACGCACGCCTCACTCGTGAATGAAAAATAAAAAAAACATCCCAACGTAGCAGGACCGGTCAAATAAGAGCCTTGAGACTTCGTGAATGTTTCCAGGACCAAGGTCATTACGATTGTTGTTCATGTTGACTTGTGTTTACGAAATCGGTGATAACCCTTTAACACGAGCGCAACCTGAGCCGAGCCAACAATATGAGCGTTTTTTTCTTCCTGCTGGCTCCTTTCAATGCTGATCGTACACAAAACAGTAACTTACTTTACTGGCCTCGCAAAATATATTAATCTGGCTCGGGGCCAGATCAGGGCCAGGGGGAGCGAGGTCACGGTGACACGACTCGTTCATCGCGCGCGACGTCAGCGGCACGGTTCAGCTTCTGCAGTGGAAAAATCAACCCGGCGCGTCTTGAGCCGCACCGGCCTGGCTCGGCATCGCCACAGCGTGGCTCGGTTGCGCAGTGGAAAAAGAAGTATGAGCCGACAAATATTTTAGTTTTCTGTTCCGTTACCGTTGAGGAGCAGTCGTAGGCATTGAGTCTCCCCTCGCCACGCCGCCACGTGAAGACTCATCCAGCCCGAGGCCTCCTCCGGCCCCTGGTCCTTGCTGCCGAGGTTCGGTTCCAGGTCTCGGCCCGGGTCCCTCTCCACCCTGAGCAGTCCTCTCAGGGCCTCCGCGTCTCCCGCCTCTATCGCGAGCAGGAGAGGGTCACTGCGCCTGCAGCCGCAGCGGGTAGTGAGGTCAGGTTAATACGGCTCGAGGCACGGTCCCCATCAGAGCTCGGAAGATGTGTCGATGAAGTCAAATAATCGACGAGGAATTGCAACTATATCTGTCATCGATTACGTAGACGCCTCACCCCCCTTTCAAAGATGGGGGGGACACACAAACATCCTACCTCCGAATGCGGGAAACCCCCAACAAGTCACGCCTAGCAGAGCTACACAGGGGTGCGGTCACGTGGCAGGCATAGCGGTTTAAGGAGCTTATCATAATCATTAGCAGGCGTGATCCATCCACTGCTGGATGAAGGCACGTGCGTGTGTTGTGGATGCATTAGGCTGCAGCGTAGTGTTTAGTGCACTGCTATGAACCTGGCAACCCGAGTTCGGTTCCCGCTCACGGCCACCAGCACCAATGACGATGATCTGAACCGGTCCTTTGGCATCCCCGAGGAGGACTCACCTTAAATAAGCACCTGGTGCAGTGCGTGTAAGCATCAGCAACAGGGGGAGACAAAGACGGCCGGGCGTGGTGCTGGCCACCCACCCCCTCTTGTGCCGTACCGGCCTTCATAGGTGCTAACAGCCCTTGCTCCGACAGTCCGTTGAGGCTGTACGGGGGTTCTTTGTGTTGTAGGTGGTCGCTCACAGCGCCAATGGTCAAATGTTTACATCCCAGTGGTAAACACGGGAATCCACTGGAATGCACATGCGTGTTGGATGAATGTCACAGTGGTGACGTCTGTTGCTACATCGTGTATCCCACGTCACCACCCCCCGGTGCTCTGTACACAAATACACAGACATGGAGCCCGCTCATGGCGTTGTTCCTTTGTGTGTGTGTATGCACGTATGACGTGCATCGATGTGCCACACACATTATCGAGAGATAGAGAAGTGCAGAGGGAAACAGACACACACAGACAGACACGCTCCATTTCCTCTTGCCCCACGTGCCACGCTGACAATGAAGCCACGTGCCCTCAAAGGCAAGATAGAGACAAAGATCCCCCGTATAGCCTTAACAAACTGTTGGGACAAGCGCTGTTAGCGAGCACCTATGAAGGCCGGCACGGCACACGAGGGGGTGGGTGGCCAACACCACGCCCGTCTTTGTCTCCCCGGTGGTGTTTACACACCACACCAGGTACTCATTTGAGGCCGAGTCTACCTAGGGGAGGCCCACGACCGATTCAGATAATCGTCAATGGTGTTGGTCGTGAGCGGGATTCGAACCCGAGTCGCCGGCTTCGAGGCGCAGCGCGCTAACCACCACGCTACCGGTCCCCACACTCATCACTCACGCACACACACACACATCACTCACGCACACACACACACATCACTCACGCACACACACACACCACTCACGCACACACACACATCACTCACGCACACACACACATCACACACACACACCACTCACGCACACACACACCACTCACTCACGCACACACACACATCACTCACGCACACACACACCACTCACACACACACCACTCACGCACACACACACATCACACACACACACACCACTCACGCACACACACACACATCACTCAGGTACACACACACATCACTCACGCACACACACACATCACTCAGGCACACACACAGACATCACTCACAAACACACACTCATCACTCACGCACACACACAGTCGCATTGTCACGCTTACATCACCCCAACGAAATCTTGTCCAGATTACTATGGCATGGTATTAGTTTTGTTTATATACCGTACGTTCAAAAATCGACAATATATGTACTAACAAACGTAATATTTTCAATTCTTGAAAATGATTGAATGTGTGGCCGACAAAGGACGTAGTAATACAGTTATTTAAGATGTTGTAGATGATTGAACGTGTATAAAGCAACAAACATAGCAACAAACATCGTACAACACGGCACTTCCACTCACTTTATATGGGGAGTCGTTTGGCACTCCGTGGGTGTTCGGGGTTGTGATGTATTGCTCTAAGATGTGTTTTCGGGTTTGCACGATGTCCCGACGTTTCGCTGCACGCCCTGGGAGCCTTATCAAGGACTCCAAGTTCTTGCTTATATATTATACACACACACGCGCTTCTACTCATCACGCTACACAAGCGTAGGATGCTGGCCACCCACCCCCTCGTGTGCCGTGCTGGCCTTCATAGGTGCTCGCTAACAGCACTTGCCCCTACAGTCTGTTAAAGGCTATTCAGGGGATCCTTGTCTTTGTGTGCTGGTGGCGGGGGGGGGGGCTCGACAGAATAAGTGGAGGGGGGGTCACTCGGGGTCACACATCCTCTCGGGAGATGGGATCAGCTGGTGGAGATGTCATCTCAACCAGAACACGCCGAGGATGTATTGTTTAATTTAAAAATGCAGCAGCGGCAGCTGCAGCAGTAACAGCGGCATCACTCTCTCGCCTCGTCGGTGGCTTTCGCCTCTCAAATGCAAAGCAAGTGTATGATACATGGCACTGTTTTTTGTTTGATTCTTTACATGATGTTCAAACATAAAACGTCGCAACAAATGATCATGCCACATGGAATAATTCATTATAAGCCTAAAAGCCCGTTCTCTATTTCGACAAGATTAAACTGAATGTCGAGCTAATTCTAGATTTGAAGTTTTCGTGACTGCAAGGATCCATACTCGTTGGTTCTTTCGGTAAAGTCAAGTTGGTGAAAAATAAAAATAATAAAATGAAAATAACTAAATTAAATCACGACGTTTCGGAGGCAACACAACTGTGGCTGTTCCACCTGATGACGGAAGCTTGTGTTGCCTCCGAAACGTCGTGATTTCATTTATTTATTTTCATTTTATTATTTTTTATTATTTTTATTTTTCATCTATTGTACGTGACTTTACCAAAAGAACCAAAGAGTACGAATGTTGAGCTGTAGTCCACCGGCCTCGTCTGGGCTCTCCGGACCGATACCCAGCACGGCGGTCCGCAGTTCGGATGGCCAATATGTCGACGGATTATAATGTTATAACTCCTCTATTATGATTTACATGCGGAGATATGCATCGAGGACTTCTGCTTTAAGTTAACATGCGTTAGTTGGCGCTGCTGCTCCTGCTGCTGCTGCGCTAACAACAACAACACTCAAAACATTCGTCAATAACAGTTTCATCCTTAAAAGGAAACATGTCATAAACAGTCGACGTTTCGGGCAATGGCTCTTCTTCATAGCACGTATGTTTCCTCTTCCCCTAGCACATTTACTATGAAGAAGGGCCATTGCACAAAACGTCGCCTATTATTATTTCTCTTAAATATACACTGTATAAATATATATTTTACATGTATATATTTGTTTCCTTTTAAGGGCCACAGTGTTATTGACGAACGTGCTGAGATGTTAGCGTACACACACACACATCGGCGCGCTCCGTGTTGCAGGGTTAGCGATGTAGAGGCGAGCAAGCGCCTTTCAGCGGCGACTGTCACTCAATCATTATGAATTGTTGTAATTGGGGGGGCGGCATGAACATTCTTGACAACCCCCGAGATCTCCATTGTCCAGAAACTAGGGATCGGTATTGATTCGGCCATGCGCGCGCGCGAGACGGAGTGTGGCATCGTCAGACCCGTAAGGCATCACGTCGGCCTGGAGGGAACACGTCTTCATCCAGCAGTGGCTAGATGATGGCCAACGAGGATACGCAACGGCGAAATATTGTCTCCCTACTTGAGAAACAACGCTGCACTCATAACGTCAACTCTCGGAGAGGGATGGAGGGAGTGGACGACTCAGAGGGGCGTCCTCTCTCTCCACCCTCCCTCCACAGATCAGCGGGAAAGGCAGCCAGCCGCGCGGTGTTTTCGGCCAATTACTGAGTGCTCACACGTGGGAGGAAACCGGGGCACCCGGAGGAAGAAAAAAACCCCACGCGTGCGAGGGTGAAACGCGTTATCCCAGAACAGAGCGAACAGGTGGAGCCCGCATTTGGCTGTCCTGCCGTCTCGCGACGAGCCCAGGGTGACGGCTCCTCATCGACGCCCGCGCACGGGAAGGGAATTCCGCGACATCACCGTGCGGTGGTCCACCAACCCTCGCTGGCTGCCTTCATTTTGGTCATTTGCCGATGCGAGTCACCACGTGACCCAGGCGTGCAGGGGACCCGCGCGGTGTGTATGTCACGTCGCACAGACCCGCTGTGTATGGGCGCGTACACAACAATCCAATTACATAATGGGCCTGAAAACGCCACGCGTTACGTGCCCGTCAATGACGGCGTGACAAAGATACCCCTGATGTAGCTTTAAACAGACTGTTGGGGAAAGTGCTGTAAGCGAGCACCTTTGAAAGTCGACACTGCACACGGAAGGGCGAGCGGCCAACACTTACGCCCGCCCGCCCGCCTATTGTACTCCGAATGGCAATGTTCACACAATCGTAGCAGGTACTCGTTTGAGGCTGGGTCGACCTAGGGGAGGCCCGGAACCAATTCGGATAACTGTCGCTGGTGTTGGTGGTGGCCTCGAGCGGGCATCGAACTCGGGCCCCAGGGGTTCGTAGCGCATTGCGCTTGCCCGCTTCCTCTGCATGCGCACGAGGACTTCACGGCGTGTGCACAGTTTGGTGAGCTTGTTCATCCCAAATGCCTCTCGCGTGCAACGAGTGTTGAGCTTTCTGCGGGGCAGCTGCGGTCTTGCTCGAGGACCAAACCACATATCAAAAACATCGGCCAGCACCAACATCAGACATCAGCAGCAGCCGCTGGCAACGCGATATACAACGCTGCTTGCTCAATACAGTCCCTTAAAGACGCTTATGTGGAGCTCGTGGCGCGAAGCGTCGGACATCATGCCGAACATCACGCGGTACAACCCGACAAAAGCACATTCTGGGAGCGACAACGCCGCTTCTTCACTCACCCGCAAGACTCGGCCGACGCGGGCGAGGTACATTCACCACCAGCCGCCTTGTCGCTTGGGAAGGCAACCTTCATCCTTCCGTTCATCACCATCACCTCCACCTCCTCCTCCTCCTCGCGTCCCCTGACCGATCGTCGCTCCTCGCTGCCCGTCACCGCCGCAGCGGCTGAAGGATGAGCCGCCTCGCCGCCGTCGTCGTCGTCACCCTGTCCTCGGCCCCCTGGGTTCGCTCCCGATGAGCGGCGGAAGAGCGCGAGGTAGTGAGTGTAGGTCATGCCGCTCACGCGGAGCGCAGGGCGCATCGCCTGGAGGGCGGGAGTCGGGGGAGGCGACGGTGGGAGCGCAGATGGATTGATGACGGTGGTAGTCGATGTGCGTCTTTGTGTCCGTGTAGCGGTGTCCGTGTCTGAGTACCTGCCTTTGTCTTTGTGTCGGGGTGTCTTTATTTGTGTGTGTCACTTTGCTTGTGTGTGTGTCTATTTGTGTGTCTGCCTATCTGTCTGTCTATGCGTGTGTGACTGCGTATTTCCCTTTGTGTCTATGTGTGGGTGGGTCTTTGTATGTGTCTTTGTATCTATATGTGTGTCTGCATGTGTGTGTGTATCTCTGCGCGTGTCTCTGTATCTCTGTATGTGTGCGTGTATTTCTCTCCATCTATTATTACGCTATCTGCGTGTGTGTGTATCTCTCCCTCTCTCTGTGTATTTTTGGCTCAGCGCAAGCTGGTTCATGCCGACAGGCGCTTCGAGGTATTGTAGCGTGTCACGGATTTCAGTTTCCATATAAAGGCAACGAGCGAGCGAGTGTGTGTGAGTGGGCGCGTGTGTGTGTGTGTTGGGGGAGCGGTGGCGCAATGGTTAGCGCGCTGCGTTGCGGACCCGGCAACCCGCGTTCTGATTTCCGCTCTTGACCAACATCTGTGACGAAACATCTGAACGATGTCACGGGTCTCTCCCAGGTCGCCTCAGCCTCAAATGAGTACCTGGTGCGGTGCATTAACATCGCCACTCGGGAGACAAAGGCGGCCGTGCGTGGTGCTGGCCACCCACCGCCTCTTGTGTTGCCGTGTCGGCCTTCATGGGTGTTTACGGCTCTAAGGTGGATCTTTGTGTCTGTGTGCGAAGCCTCACAAAGGGAGAATCAGTCCGTCCTCTAGGCTACGCGTGACAAACCGGGGTGTGCGCTGTATATATGGATCGGTGCGACCATCTATATACATACAGAAAGAAGACAAAGAACCTCCCGGATCGCCATTATTAACAGAATATTGGGTCCATACTCTTTGGTTCTTTCGGTAAAGTCACGTAGGTGAAAAAAGAAAAAGAAAAAATAAGAATATTTTTTTTTGGAAATAACTAAATCTCTTTCTTTTTTAATTCTTATTTTTTTCACCTACATGACTTTACCGAAATAACCAAAGAGTATGGATCCTTGCAGTCACGAAAACTTCAAATCTAGAAAGAATATTGGGTGTAAGTGCTGTTAGCGAGCACCTAAGACGGTCGCTACGGGCACCCGGCGACGGGGTGGTGTGGCCGGAACAGTTCCCCGGCCGTCTTTGTCTCTCTCCAGTGCTCATATCTACACCGCACCTCCCCCCCCCCACGCAAACTCTGGATTCACGTGTAATTGTATGAATGCCTCGTGAGACGACAGCATAGATAGAGAGGAGTAGACGCACATGTCGTCCTCGTGAGGACGGTAACGACAGAGAGAGAAAGAGAGAGACCGGCGATGCGGATGCGAGCGAGATGGAGCGGGATTGAGAGGAGCAGGAACCCTCGGCACGGTGCGTGAGAAGAGCCACGTGCATACAGGGATGCAGTTCGAGAGAGTAGAGAGAGCGACGCGTCGGGCATGATTAAGACGAGCAGAGATTGCGATCGGTTTGTTGTCGTAATTAGATTGTCACGATTCGAGGCATATCGCATGATTTTATTTTGAGCTGATATTTGATGCACCCCCCCCCGCCCCCCCCCCCCCCCAGGGCCACTGACCGTCTTGGGCCCTAAGCTTTTCGCTTAGTTTTGCTGGCGCCTCTCGAACCACGGATGTTAGGTCTGGATCGTGTGAACAGTAGGGGAGCTACGATATGCCGTAATGTAAACTATCGAGAAACCATCGTTAGTCTGCGCTCCTTCAACTGAGGAATAGCAAAACGACACGAACTCTCTCCCGATGCCCTCTCGTGGCCATCAGAGCTCGACATTGGTTATTTGGCAAGAATAGAGAGGGTGGGTGGAAGAGTGACTCGGGTGGATGGGTAGGTGAGTGGGTGGGTGGGTGAGTGGGTGAGTGAGTGGGTGAGTGGGGGAGCTGGAGAGTGACATGGGTGGGTGAGTGAGAGAGTGAGGTGGGTGGGTGAGTGAGAGAGTGACATGAGTGGGTGGGTGAGTGGGTGAGTGGGGGAGCTGGAGAGTAACTTGGGTGGGTGAGTGGGTGGGTGAGTGAGAGAGTGCATGGGTGGGTGAGTGAGTGGGTGAGTGGGGGAGCTGGAGAGTAACTTGGGTGGGTGAGTGGGTGGGTGAGTGAGAGAGTGCATGGGTGGATGTGGATGGGTGAGTGAGTGAGTGGGGGAGCTGGAGAGTAACTTGGGCAAGCGAGGGAGCGAGTGGGAGTGCGCCTTGCGTGCGTGTTGAGCGATGCCGCGCTACGCCCAGCTGAGGTCGTCGCATGAGTGTTGGCAAGCGCGGCTGCCATTGGCCGACGCTTCTGGTTCGATGAAAAGGCGAGCGAACGAAACGGCCTCGGAGTCGCACCGCTCCCATACCAACGGGGAGTCGCACCGCTCCCATACCAACCGCCAACAACGGGGGGACGCGGGACGCACGGGAGCGAGAGAGGAGGAGAGGGAGAGACGGACGCCGGCGAGCAGAAGACAAAACGACCCCAGCAGGTTGTCAATCGGCAGCATCTTCGGTCCGCATACGTGGAGAGCGCGCATCTTTCTGTGTGTTTGTTCGCGTCGCGAGAAGCGCTCACGGCGCGCGAGGGTACGAGATGTGCGGCAGTGTCGACTGCGCATTGATGAATTAAGTCAGCAACAGCAGCAGCAACAAGGCACCGCTGCCGGACACAGGACAAAGATACCCCGGATAGCCTGAGCAGACTTGCGGGGAAAGTTGCTGTTAGCGAGCACACGAGGGGGGGGGTAGGTGGGGGGGGAGGTCCCACACGACGTGGATGGGTGGCCAACTCCTCGGCCGATCGCCTTTGTCTTCCGAGTGGCACCAGGTACACATTTGAGGCTGAGTCGACCTAGGGTCGGCCCAGGACCGGTTTGGGATAATCGTCACTCGTGAATCTATCTGTGCGGAGCTTGCGTGCTATCTTCTCGACAGCGTTCTCCGTGTATACCACGGACTTGCGTGTGCAGTTGTACAGAACGCGTCCTAGACTCATGGGTTCAACTCCGTAGAGGCAACGGCGCCTTTACTGATGTTGATTCAGGGTAGACTTTAGTGCTGTTTTCAGGCTCGTTGTGAAGATATATGGGGCTGTGGCAGCGTTCGTCACTAACTTTTAGAGGGGGCACTTTCGCCAATAAGACATCATCAGTGTGTGAGGGCCGTCACGCATTTCAAAACCATTGCGGGTTTGACAGCACGATGATGATGATGATGATGGGGGGTGTTTTCACATTTGTGTATTGTCGCGGGCCTTGCAATGAAGCACACTGGGGGCTAGAGGCTATGGCCGAATAACCTCCCTGACTGCGTCCGGATCTCGGAAGCTCAGCAAGTTTTTAGCCTGGTTAGTACTTGGATGGATGGCCACTACTCCCGCCACCACCACCAGAGCTTTGCCGGGTGCTGGTGTAGACCGTGGGCCTGCGAGATGTGGACAGGGATATGGCAGTGCTGAGTGTCACTCCCCTCGTACGCAGTGCGTGGGGGTTCTGTGCGGTGTCTCCGGGTTTTCCTCGCCACACGAAGCCAAAAGTAAAACTAGAAACAATTTTATTTATTTATTTTACCAAGTAAGGCCATCACAAATGATAACTCAGCGAAGTCGCTTATCAAGTGGAAATCTGTAGCAGACACATCCTGAAAACGGACGTTGATTCTAAATGTGGGTGGGGGGAGGACCGGGAGAAAACTTCACGCGGTCACGGGGAGAACATGCAAACTCCAAATATGCGGGCGTCAGGGTCGGGATCGAACGCACAACCTCCTGTAAACCAGACGAGGTAGTTAACTTCATTAGTCATATTCAGAATATTTATTTACTAGCCTTTTGCCCGTCCTAAGACGGAAGCTGTAATATTAAAGATGTACATTTACGTGTTCTTGTGTGATTGTTGCACATAAATACATTTTTCTTAACTTAAAAAATGAAAATAAGGACTTTGGAATATTTCTGGGTCTACTATATTTCGTGTGAATCTCTTATCACTGTTCCAAAGGTTTCCCTGCAGTTGGCTATCCTTGATGAACACTTTGATCCGCTGAGGATTTCTAGATCTAGACAGAGCCACGTACAACTGGCCATGGGAAAATACGGGTCCATCGAGATAAATAGCCACATTATCAAAAGTCTGACCCTGGCACTTGTTGATCGTCATCGCATACGCAGGAATTATCAGAATGTGTCGTCGTTTCAGTTACGAAAGGAGGAGTGACATCATCACCTGGAGCTAGGTCGAGTCTCGGGATGAAGACGATTTCACCTCGGTTGCATTCCGATACAATCTCTGCGGTGATGAAGTTCTTTTGTAATGATTGACCATCAAACGCGTTCCATTGCAAAGACCGTTCTTCTTCGGATTCAGATTTTTGCAGCAGCATGATGATAACGCCCGTCTTCAGTGCCAATGTGTGTGGCGGCATTCCTGAAGGCGTTTGCTCGTGAAGAAATTCTGGAGGGTGATTCAATTCGTCCGCAGGATCTTCCGACACGATCGAGTCAGAGCTGTAATAAATTCGGAGATCTCCGGACAGCTGTGTGATGATGCTTCGGTTCATTTCGAGAGTGTCCCTGTTTGATAGGTGCCAAAATTGCTGTTTTCGCAAGCTCTTCGGCAGGAATGTGTTGCAAGTTCTGACCGTAAATTGCGGTGACCAGATCATCAACCGTTTTCATTCGAGGTGGAATTTCAATGGAACCTAACGGCACTCCAGATATCTCGGGCAAAGTTCTCAATCCAACTTTAAGCAGCCAATTGTTACGCTCATTTTGACCATCACTCCGAAGGTTTGCCGTGAGAGTCAATTTGGTAAAAAGCTGCCATAATATTACGCTGGATTTGATGCAGCACTCGGTGACATCAACACGGGTGCCTTTTGCTACAACCGGCAAAGTTTGTCTGAAGTCGCCACCGATTACGACGACTTTTGCACCAAACGACCGTAGAATCTGCATGATTTTCGCGCAACAGCTGATCGATGCATCGAAGGCTATGCTTTGTCAGCATCGTCATTTCGTCAATGATGATGAGCGAAGCTTGTCGTAGCGTTTCGCATTCTGGCGAATTCGGTCCCATCGACGAAGAAGATGTGTCGAGGAGGGGAATTGGAAGCTTGAATCCGCCGTGCACAGTTCGTCCGCATTTCAGTAAAGTCGCTGCGATTCCAGTGGTCGCAAAAGGAAGAGCGATTTGACCTTTAACACGAACAAACGAGAGCAGCGTGGAGTACCAAAACGTCTTTCCAGAGCCGCCAGGACCATCTAAGTAGAAAAGTCTCTTGTGGGCATGCTCATCGTCGACAGCTCTCATTATTGCTGTGAAAGCTTCAAACTGTTGCCCATTAAGGGAGCGAATTCTCGTTTCAGCTTCTTGTTGTTCTTGCACTGCGCCGTACAGCTGAGCTTCGATTGGATGTCCTATCGGTTGTGGAATATCAATTGATGCGTGCAGAGCCATGTTCAATGCAACAGTTTTGTCATGACGCCGTAGATAATCCAGCGACATGTCAAGAGAATGCTTGTTCCACAACTCGCCAGCGTTTGTTTAGTTTTATCATAATTTAGAAGCAAAAATTTGACTTACCGTTTGTTTCAAGTGCTGAAGAAATAAATAAAGACACGAAAATCACTTTGTTGCTGCGTAGAATTATTTATTTGAGAAAATTTCAATACAGAAACGTAAACTTTAAAAAGAATTTGCGTAACAAAAATGTTTCTCCGCTCGACCTGGGGGAGTGTAAAAATCCACCCGCTCATGATTATTTTATTATTAATGACGGGGGGGGGGGGGCAGGGGGTGCAGCGTGTGGAGTGACGTCACGCACGTTACACACATTTCTATTATAGTAGTAATACTGGATGCATCCGAAGACCCACAAAGCTCTTCTTTTCACAGATGTCATTGTTCCTCTATACATTCACCCACGTCGCAATTAGACGAATGCATACACGTAAGGGAATGATTTCCTTTTTTTTCAAATTGACCCAAACGTTGGGGGGGGGGGGGGGGGTGGGGAGGAGAGGTGCGTCTTACTTTCTGGTGCGTCTTATAATTCGGAGAAAACGGTGTTCCCGCAGAGCACGGAGCGCCGCGTCCGTGGCTGGCAGCCATGGACGCCGTGAGACGCGAGGAGGAGGAGGAGCGGGGTGAGAAGAGGGGCGATGTGGAGCCAGTGAAATTCCAGATCAGGAGGATCGAGCGACGGAACATCTTCGTGACGCAGCTCGGGGAAGGAAGGTGCGCGTGTTGTGCTGTGTGCGGAGGTCGGTGCTCAGCTAACAGCACTTGCCCCAACATGCTGTTAAGGCTCTACGGGGGATCTTTGTCTTTGTAGTGCGTCGTACCGTGCACCCCCCCCTCCACCGTGTTATCACCAAGCCACAAAGCAAGAGTTGGGGGGGGGGGTCCACGATCTAACCCGATCGATATGTTACCCTATTTTCATGGCTTTATTGACACCGTGCACAAGTTTGTGGTGCGTATTACTTTCTGCGGCGTCTTATAATGCGGACAAAACGGCAATAGGCGCTCGCTAACAGCACTTTGTTCTGGGCGGGGGGGAGGCAGTCGTTTGTACGTATTCTTGGGCTTGATGCACAAGCGCCCCTGACAAGCGATGTATGAAAGTATTATGGTGCCTGCTCTATACCCACTCAGCCCTAAACGAGTACCTCGGCACGACGTTCGAATATCGGCGCAACCGTGCGTGGTTCTAACCGCCGCTCTTCCCTTCACGTGGTGTGTGCAAGCCTTAATAGGTGCTCGCGAGCATCACTTACCACTTGCTCGGTCTGTAAGCCTGAACGCGGGGTCTTTGCCTCTATAAAGCTCCACGGGGGGGACTTTTGTCTTTAATTTTTGTACGTATGTGGAAATTGTCAGCCAGTATAAGGATGTCATCATCATCGGCAGCATCCTTCCTTCACTTGACACACGAGGCCCATATATAGACGCGCGAGGGCTTCTAAATTCAATGACATAATCACTAAGTTCCTATTCGCGACTTCCCATGAGGAAGAATGTATGTGCAGCAACGCTCTAGAATTAATCACGTTCGCCATGACGTAATGAGAGAGGCTGTCATTTACTAAAGCTATTACTATTTTATTTTTTATTTGACCAGGTAAGGCGCACTGAGCTATTGTAGCTCTTTTTTAGAAGTGACCTGGCCACAAATAATAGCCCAACGAAGTGGCTCTAAACACGTGATGTCGACTCTAAATGTGGAAGGAAAAACCGGAGGACCCGGAGAAAAATTCACGTGACCAAGGGGAGAACATGCAAACTCCAAAGATACAAGAGTCAGAGTCGGGATTAGACCTATGACCTCCTGTATCGCAGGCAAGGTCGTTAACATCTCACCACCGCGGCGTTATTGACACAGTCACGTGATGATTCGAGCAATAACGTCTCTTATTTGATAACATGACAGTTGTTAATGTAACGGTATTTTATAGCATGCAGTAACATCAAATACGACATGATTCCTTGTAAGATGTGTCAGTTTGGTCTTTTAACATCTTAACACCTGTTTTGTTTGCCAGAAAAAAGGGGAAAATATTATTATAATAACGTACATTTCTTATCATGTTACAGTATATTATCGTTCTTTTTCCATTAAAAATGATAGTCCCATATAAGTGTTCATATTTTTTGGAAGCATCCTTTATATCACTTTGCTCCAACAGTCTATGAACTACACGGTTGATCTTTGCTTTGTTTATGGATATAGTTATCTTGATCGTTTTCTTTTGCAGAGATGAAGATGAAAACATAAAAAGATTTCCAGTCGTCAAGGAGGTAGAAATCATCTATCCACCTCCATCATCTCCACTATCATCATCAACATCTCTACATCGTCATCGTCGTCTATATGCGGCAGTTACAATGAGCATCGCGTGGTGAGGGGTGCACCAATTGTGGTTGGCTTATGGAAATACTGTTTCCCGACAAAGGAATGTGGACTTTCCAACATTGGCACGGGCGAGTACCGACGGCATTATTTGTGCAGGAAATCACTTTTTTGTACAGGAAATCACTTTTGGCTTGCATACCAAATGGACCCACGATCTGATTAATGCTCAGCTTATCAGTTATATTTAGTTGCGATACTTCTCATTATTTTTTCACCATCTGCCTCCCCCCTCTCTCCCCCCTCTACCCCCCCCCCGCTACCCCCCCCCCAGGGCCCCTCCCGCCTACTCGAGGCCCCTGGGGCTGCCCCCCAGGAGACCCTGCTCCTGCGACGGGAGGTGGAACGGAGGCGCGTCGACGCGGAGCTGGAGGAGGCTCGCGGGAGGTTTCGCCGGCGCATGGAGGAGTGCGGGGCGCGCGGGCGCCAGCTGCAGCAGCGGCGCAAAGAGGTCAGCGAATGCCGGCTAATATGGGTTCGATTCCCGGCCGTGGTTTAACGTCGGCAGGCGGATGGTATCCAGAAATAGTCGTCGGTCAACTGATGCGGCGTGCAAAAATATCGGCACTGGAAAGACAAGCTTGGCGTTCACCAAGTCACCACCCTTGTGTGGCCGTGCCTGCCTTAATAGGCGCTCACTAACTGCACTTGCCCCAACAGTCTGTTAAGGGTACATTGTGGATCTTTGTTTTGTCTTTGAGGGCACACGGCTTCATTAAGGCACGTTGGACGTGGGGCAAGAGGAAATGGAGTGTGCCTATGTGTGTGTGGGGAGCGGTAGTGTAGCGGTTAGCGCGCTGCGCTATAATCCCGGCGACCCGGGTTTGATTGCCGCTCACGGCCAACACCGGTGACGATTATCTTAACCGGTCCGGGGCCTCCCCTAGGTCGACTCAGCCTCAAATAAGTACCTGGTGCGGTGTTTAAACATCGCCACTAGGGAGACAAAGGCGGTCGGGCGTGGTGCTGGCCACCCACCCCCTCTGGCCTTCATAGGTGCTCGCTAACAGCACTTGCCCCTACAGTCTATTGAGGCTATATGGGGGATCTTTGTTATCTTTGTGTCTGCTAAGGCTCCACGGGGATCTTTGTCGGTGTATATACACACGTGCATCTATGCGTGTGTGCGTGTGTGCGTGTGCACACGCACAGGAAGAGGACCGCGCGCTGCAGCTGCAGCAGGTTCTGCGTGAGCAGGACGCGCGCACGCGGCGTGCGCTCACGCGCCAGCGGAAGGAGCGCGCGGAGACGGAGGCGGCGCGAGGCGAAGCGGAGCGGCTGCGCGAGCTCCTGATGCAGCTGCAGCGCAGGTGAGGCCTCCTCCTCCTCCTGCTGCAGCTGCTGCAGGTGGTGACCCCTGAGCCCATGAATCCTCTGATCTGACTCCTGCTGCAGGTGAACCCTCTTCTGAAGCATCAGCTGTAGGTGACCTCTTACCTCCAGCCGACCTGTCCACTGATGAAGGTGACCCATTTTCTTGGTTCTTTCGGTAAAGTCATGTAGAAGGGAAATAATAAAATAATAAAAATAAAACATAATAAAATAATTTTCACGACGTTTTGGCCACAACGCAAGCAGCCGTCCTCAGGTGGAGAGCAGGTCTGTCGAGTAGACAGAGTCTGAATGAGTCTACTCGACAGACTTGCTCTCCACCTGAGGACGGCTGCTTGCGTTGTGGCCGAAACGTCATGAGAATTACTTTATATTATGTTTTATTTTTATTATTTTATTATTTCCATTCTACGTGACTTTACCGAAAGAACCAAGAAGATGAATCCATGCAGTCACGAAAGCTTTAAATCGAAATTTAAGGTGACCCATTGTCTGAAGTCTTCCTGTCTACGAAGCAAGGTGACCGCTTATCTGGAGAATAAAAAAGATACAATACGACGTGGATTTATTTCGCAATATCTAAATGCGTCCACATCTGACCATGCTGCACAGCAACAGTGGGCATGTGCGAATTGACAAGGCACTTTAACTTAATTTCAAGCGGTGGCAGCAGCTGTCACGTGCGTTATTTTATCTGGAATTGATTTTACCTGCAACAGCGGCACTGGCTCGGCACAGAACTACAAGCGAAGGGACGTCCCTCTGGTGAAACTCCACATGTGGCCCAATGTCGACCGAGTGTAGGATGCAGTGCGGTTACTCCGCAGTAGCCCACAGGAGGCTACCGAGCCCTTGATTAGTAATTTCTCCTGCACGGTACCCATTCTGCAGCTCTGTGCCCCCTGAGCGGCGATTCACGGGTTGTGAGCCGTTGGATTAAACGTTGACGTGTATCTGTTCCCTCCGCCGGGTTGCAGGTGCCAGAAGCTTCAGAGGGCCACGGGCAGGTGCAAGGTGTACGAGGATTTCCTCAAAGATGCTCTCGATCGCTTCCCCGAAGGTCTACAGCTCCCTCCAGCTGTCAATGTCCATCGCCATAATCACCATCACCGTCATCAGCCATGATCAGTGCACTATTGGATGAAGGTCTTTGCCAAGCGGTCGCCATCTCCTGATAGGCCCACAATGCCACGGGTGAGCGCCCACCTGGGCAGAGGTGGCAGGTGCTCATGTGAATTATTAATTGTGAAGTCATGGGAGCCAACCGACAACGTGGGTGGTCGTGGCGCATCGTGTTTCATCGAGTCCCGTTGCGCTCGCTGATGCGACGCACCAACGTGTACGATCCTTGCGCAGTGCCGTCTCGGGACACTGCAGTCATCTGGCACAACAGCACGCAACCACCTACGTTCAGAAACGGCAATACAGTATTTTCAACAAATTATTTCTGCAGTGGCTCTTGTTCGGAATGAACTCCACCCCTGCCATTCTAAACGCGGAATTTCCACCGGCTGTCACTGGAACGATGGTTGATTGGGCGCTTTGTAAATTAACGAGTTGATTAAATGGTTTTTTGATTCATGAAATTTAGAACTGAGTTGGCCCGTGGCCACATTTGTGGCAGTAAAGAATTGCTGCCTGCTGCACATGTTTGATTCTATGCTTTCGTAACCTTAAATGAAAAGGGTTCAGCCTATCTCGGCCCCTCTCCTTCCTTCTAGATTTGAAGCTTTCGTGACTGCAAGGATTCATACTCTTAGTTCTTTCGGTAAAGTCACGTAGGTAAAAAATGAAATGAAAATTAATAAAAATAAAACAATAAAATCACGACGTTTCGGAGGCAACGCAAGTTGCTGTGACGGTCCCACCTGATGACGGAGACTTGTGTTGCCTCCGAAACGTCGTGATTTTATTGTTTTATTTTTATTAATTTTAATTTCATTTTTTACCTATGTGACTTTACCGAAAGAACTAAGAGTACCTCTCCTTCCTCTCTATGCCCCGCCCCTTTTCTCTTTAGGCTCCTCCCCCTTCTTCTTTAGGCCCCGCCTCTTTCTGTGTCGGCCCCGCCCCTTCCTCCAGGACACAGACTTCAGCTTGTTTGTCCAGTGGTGGGAGTTGGGGAAGGTGGGGGGGTGTATGCACCCAGCAGTAGGTAGTGGTGGGTGTGTGTTGGGACAGCAGAGATGAATTCACCACCACAACCAAACTTGCTCTGAAAGTAGCGATATGCATGTTGAACTTCTTTCGCACCGTACGTAGCCAACCATGCTAATCGTAGGTGAGGGGTAAGGACAACTATATAACAACAGATTTGATTGTTTGACCGCATCGTGGTGGCGCAGGGGATGCGGGTGGCGATGGCCACGACACCTCCGGCCTCATCCGTCGCCACACGGGGCTCGAGGCGGCGAGGGTGGCTCTGCTCGGCCGCCTGGGAGACCTGGGACGTGATCTGGAGCAGGCTCAGCTCCAACTCGCGCAGCTCACACGCGGCTTCAGCCACACAAACATGGTGGGGCCACGGGGTGGGGTCACTGTGGGTCAAAGTGGGGTGAGGGTGGGATCACAGTGGGGTGATGAGGGTGATGGTAGGGTGGGGTCACGGTGGGGTCACACGGGTGGGGTCACGTGGGTGGGGTCATGGTGGGGGTGACTGTGAAAGTGGGATGAGGGTAGCGTCACGGTGGGGTTCTCGTCACACACAAATGTACCATCTCTCTCGCTCACTCATGCTCTTCATCCGTCTCGCTCTCTCTGTCTCTCACTCATGAAGGTGACCCACGGGGAGATGTCTGAGCTGCGCTCTCGGAGGGAGCGAGCGCAGGAGCGCTGCCGCGCTGCCGAGGAGCGGCTCCTTGCCCTGCGCCAGCACCACCGCACCCAGGTGCGTCCCCTCGCCCCCCTGCAGCAGAAACCATGCAGACGATCTGCCTACAACCATCAAGCATGACCTCTCCACTGCTGATGATGATGCTGCTGATGTCGAGAATCAACACTGATGTACATCCTGGATCTGCACAATAGGGCCAGGAGTTGGGCGCAATGCTGATGGCGATTGATAACCTGGCGGAGAGCTGCTACCTACGTCAATATGGCTCATTGCAGGACATGGACTCCTTCTCCAAGCTAGACATGGTCCAGGTGAGATCACACGATCACAGGTGTGTGTGAGTGGATGATGCAGGCGTATTGAGGTGCAGGTGTGATCACGTGATCCAGATGTGTTTAGACAGGTGTGTGCCCACATGGTACAGGTTTGAGCAAACGATGCAGGTGTGTATGCGATCACGTAATCCTGGTGTACTCACAAGCTACAGTTATGTCGATACACAGGTGTGGTCACATGATGCAGCTATAATTACATTGTGATTTCTTTCTTGGTTTTAAATTTCGAAAAGGTATCACGAACAAAATAATCATCAGTGGGACGATGGGACAGATCGTCAGGCTTCTGCTCGTGATGACCGTCCAGGAGGAGTTATTATGAAACGCTATTTAACGAGACACAAACCCTTAAATCAGGGCGTGGGCACAAAAACAGTTTTTAGCAGTGTTCTGCAAAAATAACATGGCCCTGAAACAAACGTCTGGGAGGAAGGAGTAAAAAAAAATAATCCTTGAAAATACCAAAACGACCCGCGCGGTTGATTGTAAATGTGCGTTCAATGATAATTAATGAAGTCAGTAAAACCCCCGGGCCCTTCTATTCGTGGCATTTCCTCCACTGGCCAAGGGTCCCCAGTGGAGGTGAGTACCATCATTATTGCCAGCCATGATCAATCCACTGCTGGATGAAGGCCTCTCCAAGTTGTCGCCATTACTCCATTACTCGTGAGCCTGCGATGTAACATTCCGTCGAGCTTGTGCGCAAACTGACTTCATCACTCCATCTCCGCGGGCGCGGAGAGGGGGTAAGGACATCCGCTTTGGCGATAAATATTCCTTCCCATCGTGACTCTTGCTCACAGGCCACCATCGCTTCTCTAGCAAGGTGTCCGGGCTGGTGGGCTATCTCATCGGTCGCCGGCTCAGTGCGCCGGACCCTATGCGTCCACCCGCCTGCCAGCTTCCACTGAAGTTGTCGTTGGCCTCTTTCGCGTAACGCAGGAGTGCTTGCTCGAGAGGATGGAGGTGCTGCGCGCCGTGCGCTCCGTCCGCCACGCCGCACCGTCGGCGTCCAGCGACCGCTCCCGCAAGACGGAGCCGTGGGGACCCCGGGCCCCCCGGAGCTCGGCCCCCGCGGGGAGCCTCCCTCGCCCGCCACTGCCCCCCGTGTCAGGCCAGAGTGGACGGTCAGGCAGGCAGGGGAGCACGCGGGCATTGCTGAAGATAACTATTCCTGCTGTGAAATAGGGCCTTGCCCTTGCGCGGTTACGCTCGCTGATCCTTCTGGGTGGGTTATCGTGGTTGTGCCACGTGGCTCTCCGATGTGTTATTGAGTTGTTCCGCGTGTGGTTCGGCACGATATTTAATTTCCTAAGAACGTAGAGCAAAACGTCAGATGATCGAGCCCGAAATAAACTTCATATGTCACTGAGCAGTAGACATAGAATTGTCAGCTCAGTGTTTTTTTTACATTTCAGAACTCTTAAGAGGTAACCGCGTGGCTGAGCGGTCAGAGGGCTGAGCTGGCACATCCAAACAAGAGCCACGATAGAAATAAATATTTGATACATTTCGCTGTTTCTCAGTATAGACGTGTGTGTTTGCGCGATGTTTTTCGTGATTCGAGAAGGTATTGGAATTGCAGAGATCGGCTATTTAGCATTTCCCGTAATGTTTATGAGAATGTGTTGTTGAGTTTGAGAATGGTCATGAACATTAAAGTGATCAGCATGTTTGTGTCTCTGACAAGAACACTGTAAATCTCATCAGATCTCACAAGTTTAGCAGCCTGGAGCGTGCTTTTTTTTCACCTGGATTGGTCACTACCCACCAGAGCTTCTTCCCAGGTGCTGTAGGTGCGAGGCTGCAAGGTGTGGCCAGTACTGAGTGTCTTCTCCTCTTATGCAGTGTGAGTGTTCTCCGGTTTCGAAGTAAACTCGTTACGAGTGGAATTTTGCGAAATTGACCCATTCCGGCGAAGAACCCGCACAGAATAACAGCGCACAACCTCCTGTAAACCAGGTGAGGTGGTTAACATCATTAGTCATCATCAGAATATTGATTTATTCTGGAGGAATCCGATGAGCTATGAAGCTCTTTTTAACAGATGGCTCTACTTTTGAAAGTAATAAAAAAAAGCAATGATCACTATCAAATACAACGCACGTGTTGTCATTACTCTTGAGTCGGAATTGATGAGGAATTATCAGGAAATAAACGCGCGAGATATAACGAACAGCAGAGAGATGTCAATGTTCGTGGATGAAGATGAAAAGCACAAGACGCTGACGATACGGCGATGGACCGTCGTCGGATCACGGCGCGAAACCTGAAAAACGGCGACACAAACCCAGGACCCACGGATCTAAGTCGGGCAAACCGGATCGTCCCGGTGTAACAAATCAAACTCACGCTCACTCACCCACTGATAATTTGCGGTAAAAAAACACAAGTTAGCTATGAAATAACAAAAATATTATCGTAAAACAAAACAACAATATAGATTGATATCATGGGACCTTCTTTGCCCATACCAAAACATGATAATAGGTGTTCCCCTTTATTCTGGCAACAAAACAGGTGTTAAGATGTTAAAACACCAAACTGAAACCTTTTACAAGGAATCATGTCTGCATTAACAACAATGCTTGTGGTTAGAATGCAAACAAAAACATACTCTGATAATATATATGGCATTGTCCTTGAAACTGATTGGTCCACACCAGAGACAGCTTTCTTTTGAGCCTCGTCTCAAACGGTGTTAGACCAGAGGACGCCAAAAGGCCTTTTAATATACAGTTTCAGTTTGGTGTTTTAACATCTTAACACCTAATACTACATTAAAAGCTTTCGTGACTGCAAGAATTACTCTTTGGTTCTTTCGGTAAAGTCACATAGAAATAAATTATTTTTCGATTTAAAGCTTTCGTGACTGCAGGGATTCATCTTCTTAGTTCTTTCGGTAAAGTCACGTAGAAGGGAAGTAATAAAATAATAAAAATAAAACATAATAAAATAATTCTCACGACGTTTCGGCCACAACGCAAGCAGCCGTCTTCAGGTGGAGAACAGGTCTGTCACGTAGACAGAGTCTGAATGGCACGCTCCAGGCTTGGAGCGACTAATCGCATATCTGCATTTCCCATAAATATGCTAAATTCCTCTTGATATGCAAATTATTTTGTCAAGACGCTCTACGCCCCTCCATCCCAGCTTAAATAGTCGCTCCAAGCCTGGAGCGTGCCATTCAGACTCTGTCTACGTGACAGACCTGTTCTCCACCTGAAGACGGCTGCTTGCGTTGTGGCCGAAACGTCGTGAGAATTATTTTATTATGTTTTATTTTTATTATTTTATTACTTCCCTTTTACGTGACTTTACCGAAAGAACCAGGAAAATAAATTATTATTATCTTAACACCTGTTTTGTTGCCATAAAAAAACGGAAAAACCTATTATCATTATAATATAGATTTAAAAAGTAAACGCGATTAAAAAAAAGTATGGTTGTAAAGACATTTGCTAAAAAAAAAATGTGTATAATATAATACAAATTAATATATTAAATAATCTCCCCCGCCCCCCCCGGCGAATCGTGCACACTCAGAGCCTCTTGACCAATTGACCAATTGGCGCACGCTCACACCCCCACCCCCCAGAGCGCGCCTCCTCTCATTGGCTGAGCGAGGCTTAGTGGGCGTGTCCCGCCCCACCCCCCCCACCCACCAACTCAGAGCCGAGGCCACGCGCGGGGCGGTGAGTTTGCCGCTCGCTACCTTGCCTCTCTCTCTTATCACATTTTAACTCCCTCTCCTCAGACAACATCTCATCGTTCATTGTTTAGAATCCCTTTTAAAGAGCGTCTTCAATATTTGTGCCCTCCCTCTCCACATCTCCTATCCATCGCCCACCCCACCCCCCCCCGATAACGCGGTTGTTTGAGACCCGCTTCGCCCCCCCCTCCCTGTCGCGGTCTGAGGCCTTTCATTCGCCGGGCCCGACCTCTCTCTTCCCTCCCCGAACCAACCGACCCACCCAGCCCCCACCTCTTGCCTGGCGCCTCGGCCGGGCTACGAGGCGACGGAGGCGGTAGAGCCGCTATCCGAGACGCGGTCGAGGGTTTGCGGGCCCGATTCCCCGGGGGTAGTTGCGGCGGATGGACGCTTTTGGGCCCCCGGGAAAATAAAATCCCTTGCACCTTTAAACCAACTTTCCTCTGTTTGCCGACCGACGTTTTGATGATTTTATTTGTTGATTTTATTTGTACTCGCACGAAAAAAAACCCTGTTTGTTGGGACCAGTTGCTGTTGGTGAATAAGCTGTGGAGTTCGGCGCGTTACACACGCGGACGCGCACGGACACACGTGGGCACAAAGAGACGAGACGTTTGTGAAGGCAATGTTTTATAAACTGTTTGAGGTGATGTGGTGTGTGATGTACACGTGCGTGCACGTTTCGGCGTAAAGATCTCCCGCGGCGGCCTGCAGACTGCGGGCCAGCACATTATATACAGTGTACTGTGCACTCGTACGTACCAGTGAGGTGAAGCATAGTCGAATAACCCCCACGACCAGCAGATGTTTGACAAAACGACTACATGTACACACAGACAAAGATCCCTCCTATAGATTTTCACAGACTGCTGGGACAAGTGCTGTTAGCGAGCACCTATGAAGGCCGGCACGGCACACGAGGGAGTAGGTGGGCCAGCACCACGTCCGACCGCCTTTGTCTCCCGCGTGACGATATTTACACACCGCACACTCATTTGAGGCTGAGTCGACCTAGGGGAGGCTCAGGACCGGTTCAGATAATCGTCACTGGTTTTGGCCGTGAGTGGGAATCGAACTCCGGTCACCGGGTTCGTAGCGCAGCGTGCTCACCGCTACACTACCGCACCCCTCACACACAGACATGCATACAACCGAAGATATTGCATGTCTCGTGTTATAGATGATTGGAGCAAGTGCTGTTAGCGAACACCTATTAAAGACGGAACGCTCAATCGCCTTTGTTTCGGTTGGTGATGTTTTCACGCAAGCGTCAGATATTTGTTTAAGGCCGAGTAGACCTAGGAGAGATCCATGGGAGGTTCAGATACCGAGTTCCACTGATGTATTCCAAGCCTGGGAATCGAACTCTATGGGCCCTTCTGAAGCACTGCCACCACCAATCCCCATCCATGTAGCAATACCCGCCATTCGCCACTAGGTGACGGTGACGGCGGCCGTGCCAGGCCAGGTGCACTTTATTGCCACGTGAGGTGTCGAAAGCTCGCTGGCAGGAGGTCACGGGACAGACCCAGGTGCGCCATGGGTGAGCTGACAGAGATTACTTCTATAAATGTGTTTGGGTCCCACCAATGCTGGATTATCCTAAGTAGCAAAAGAAGCATATGCTACAGGCCCTCACTTTCAAGGGCCCCGCGCTAAATGCTTTCAAGATTTAAATTCCGGTTCAGTGATTCTGCACTTGCTCTATTACCATAGTACTATACTACCTTAAACTTTTATGAACGAGTGGGTGTTTAAGGTTAGCGATTTGTCGTATTATCTGGCTATATAGCAAATGAAAAAATACAGTTACTTTACTATGCAAGTAAAAATGTGTGTTTTAATATTTGTGCTTTTAAAATATAGGGCCCCTTTATAACATACTACAGGCCCCGCACTAGCATAATCCGGCACTGGTCCTCACCATACGAATATGGAGTTTACAAAGTTGACTGGGCTCTAAACGAGCCAGCTCGAACACCTTTGGCAATTAGTTTATTTATTTAGGCATTGTGCCCACGTGCGGAGTTAAAAGCACGACCTGTTGTTGAATTTGAACAAAAAGCAGATGGATTTGGGTCATGCGTGTTGCTAGCAGACGCGGGGGGGGGGGGGGGTTAATGCTGGTGGTATGAGAGAAGAAACATGTAGTGGAAGAGCGAACTAAGCAGAGATGGATCGATGAACGGCGTGGTGGTGGTGGAATGTACAGTATTGTGAGTGACCGGTCGTATATGATGTACAATATGTAAACTTTTTGGTCCAGGGTTTAAAGAAGAAGAGATGGGGCATTTAAGTCTGAATTGGACCGTGCTGGATTGCTGCAGATGAAGCAGACATTTCCAGTCCAGTTATCTCAAACATCTTTATGGAAATAATATAATACCCCATTTATGTGTTGTTATGGAAAATGTTTAACGTGAAATATAGCGGTTAGCCATTGTGATGTTTAAAAAAACACATTTAAAATGTAGTTTGTGTATGCGGTTTTACAGCTGTCGTAAAAAGAATATTGGCATTTGCGCTAAGTGGGGGTCTGTGCCTATTAAAATCCGCTGACAGTTTAACTGCATCGTAAATGGACAGTATCAACCTCAAGATATGTGTGCAGAGTTTGAAGTCAGCTCGCCATCAGCATGTGCATTGTGTAGTTTGGTCCTGTACTTGCACGACGATCCTCTTTGTGTGGGGCAGAAAGTAAAGGGCTGTACTGACAGCAGTACAAGCACACAAGTAAAAACAATCAAATTTGTCAAGAGCACTGCCTTGCAACACAATGTTATACCGCATTCTCTACACCACTGGTTCCCCAACCTGTGGCTCGCGGACCCTTGGTGGTCTGCGAGGCTACTCTAGGGGGTCAACGGAATAGAAACAGAATAACATCCTCGCCAAGGAAATGTACAATTTCAAATAACTACGAGTAGCGTGTGATGGTCCGCAAAATGTTTGGATGTTGAAAAGGAGTTCGGGACATTCGAAAAGGTTGGGAACCGCTGCTCTAGATTATAAGATGCTCTTTTACCTCACCCCCTGTATGTTAAAGCAAGAGTTGGTGGTTTCCCATACAATCCGGTAGGTGTTTACATATGACCGGATTTGCATAACTTTATTGACACCGGGCATTAGTTAGTGGTGCATTTTACTTTCCGGAGCATCTTATAATCCAGAGAATACGACAGTAGCCTGGCTTCAGACTGTGGCCCTTCTCCCGGCAGAGAGAGGGGGAGAGGTCAGAGACCGTGGTATTTTAACCATTTAGTTGGATTTGGACTTTCCAGTGTGATACTGAAACAAACCAGTGTGCCATTAATATACACTGGGTGTCAAACGTGATCTCGTAAAAATAAGATGGAAATATGCAATCTAATTTAAATTGACGGTAAAATTACATAACCCTACTGCAAAACTGTCCCTTCGGAAGTGCGATGCAGATGCAGAATCCATTATTTGATGAAAGGAGCCATTTCATATCATGGGCTCCTCTAAATGGGAGATACAATTAAGCTGTGTCCATCGTGGCTGGTGTGCAAGACTGGTTATAATTTTGTCTCATCTTGGCATTCCACTGAGCTCGATATGATAGTGTGGTTACAAGCTACTGATGACCAAGTGAATCCCCGGGTGCTCCTGTTTGAGAGCAGCTGCCACAAGAAAACTGCATCGACTGGGGAAACAGTGTCCGTTATGCTGGCGGAGCAGCTGATATTGACTGCGGTTAAACGCCGATTGCCGGGGTAACGCGGCGTTTGAACGTAGGCTTGTCGCTGCGTGTTATCAATTACAACTCCGGGACAACTGGTCGCATTGCCGGATCTGCAGCAGAATGCTTCCCAGCATTTTGTCATCACTCTAAAGTCATCAAAAGCAACAGGCTATAACTGTATTTTGTAATATGTAAGCCGGGGTAACTTAATGGAGTCCGTTTGTTCCACCAGAATACACGTGATGCATTGGGTAGGCTTCAGTGATATCCGCCCAATGGTTTGCACCTCGCTGCTTTCACAGTTTGGTGAGGCATTGATCTTCCATTTATGGAGGAAATATCTACATCTTCCGTGCTTTGAACACAGTCGGGAGCAGTTCGCACTGTCACTGTATGCAGTAGTGGACGGTTTGAACTCACGCCAGGGATTGTATGCCTTGTATGGTGCTCCCGTAGCAGTACCCAAGGGTTGTTTTGGCTCCATCTAAGTGTGTGATTTATTATCGGGTTATGTCCCTTGTGGCATCTTGATCTTGACCATCAGTTTGATCATTATTGTCTTCTTCCTGCTGCTGCTGCTGTGTGATAAGGTGTTCAGCTGCAATCGTGCCGGGGGAGGACGGACGCGCAAAGACGAGACCTCATGGGGCCACAGACCCTCGGGCAGCGGCGGTGGCGGCTTCGAGGAGCGTGACGCCGGCAGCTGCACGACGATTGGTGGCGCTGCGCGAGCCACTGCGAGACTCCGCGCACTATGGCCGGCCTGCAGCTGGTCACGCCGGGGCCCTCGGCGGGGCCCCTGCTGGGCCTGCCCTGGCAGCAGGACACGGTCCACGACAACATATTCACCCCGAGGAAGTACCAGGTGATGCCTTGAGGCTAGCGGCGTAATTTAAGGGGGATAGGTCTTGGGCTTGCGAGGGAAGAGGCCGCAAGACCGTGGCATGGCCTAGGGCTAATGAGACCAAGTATGGGGGCGATGATGCAACTGGGGGCCCAAAGTGTCTCGGGGCAGTCCGCAGAAGAGCCCTTCTCGAATGGATCCCAGGGGGGCAGCACAGCAACTACCAGCAAAGTCGCACCACTAATTTCTGAACCTCCCCCGTGTTGTGTTGACACTCGTCGGGAAGTCAGAGGCCAAGCGGAGAGAGAGAGAGCGGCACCGCATATTTATTTGAACGATCGTCCTGCCGTTTCTTTCGGGCGCATGACAGGTGGAGTTACTGGAGGCCGCTCTTGAGCGCAACACGGTCGTGTGCCTCAACACGGGCTCGGGGAAGACCTTCATCGCCGTGCTGCTCATCAAGGAGCTCGCTCACGCCACCAGGGGCGAGGATGGCTCGCAAGCCAAGCGCACCGTCTTCCTCGTCAGCACGGGTAGGAGGGGGGCGGATGTCACATGAGTAGCGATGAAGGGTAATTAGTAAACACTATGGAAGGGTAAGCATCTTGGAAATTCAGAATAGGATGCCACAGGTTGAAGGCGGGGATCATATATGTTGGAGCATGGTTACAGTACTGCCCAGCAGCCTACAGACACCTGCGTTGTGCACTCTCCAGACTCGAATCCGCTTAGCTTCCGAGAGCCGATGAGGTTCCGGCAGACTCTTCAGTAATTAGGTTATAGGCAAATGATCATATCATTCATGAGTTGAAAAGAAGTTGTTCTTGGGCACCTAATTTGGTGCATGTATTGTCAGCTTAATTTTTCTGAAATCGAACGAGGACCCATGTTGTTAACAGAGAGAAGGTCCTTGCCTGTAATATTGGCAGTTCGCCAGCATTGATTCAAGCAAGCCTGGCTCTGCTGATGAGACGCTGGGTGTCAAAGCTGGTCTACAGTTGCTTGCCTTGAATCAATGCTGCTGAATTATGCCCCTAAAATGTGGAGAGATGGATATGTGAGGAGACCTATTTGTGGCTTTTTTATATCGACGGATCGGCGATCATTTCATCTGATGAATGGAGAGTGACTATTAGCGATCAGTTCTGAGTGCTTTAGCCATTCGGTTGCTTCGTCGGAGTGTTGGGGAAACTTCTGATTCAACCTGCTGTCAAATACACATTTGGGGCAGCGCGAAGTTACGTGGGTCCGTGGGTTGATGGTGCGGCGTTTTCGTGCCTGCCGTGCGCCGCTGGTCTTCAGAAGCGTGCATGGCGGAGCAGGCGGCGGCCATCCGCACGCACTCGGACCTGACCGTGGGGGAGTGCACAAGCCGCGACTGCCTGGACGCCTGGGATGACTCGAGGTGGCGCAAGGAGCTTGCGCTGCACCAGGTTTGTTGTCATCATCGTCGTCGTCCAAATCATCATCATTAGCCACTATCTATTTGACCGTAACTTGACCATGCTGATGAAAAGCGGTTTGTTTAATGTCGGTGAGCATGAATGTACGGCACAACGGTGGGTTTTGCTGCATTGCTCTCTGGTAGCAGCCACGGTCTCCTACGACGACCTGATGCACTTGGAGGTCACCCAATCCGAGCACTATTTAGGTTCAAGCCTGCTTTGTGTCCAAGTCGTAATGAAGTTTGCCGCATGCATTCCACGTGATTTCTTCATGGGCCAATCAGCGCAATTGAACAATAAATGGCGGGGAGAATTTAGATCAAAGACTAAACTTGAGCGATTAAATTTCTCTTGATTCATTGCCCGCGATGCATCGTTTTACCGAGTCGAGTAGTCCGTGACCGCGCGACGTTGGCGCCGCCCTCTTCCACCGCAGGTTCTGGTGATGACGTGCACCGTGTTTCTGGAGGCCCTCCACTGCCAGTTGGTGCCGTTTTCCCGCATCAACTTGCTGGTGATCGACGAGTGCCACCATGCCCTCACCGAGCATCCCTACAGGCACATCATGCAGGTGCGGACACTGTCATCATAACCATTATCATCATCATCACCACCATTGTCATCGTTGTTGTCTCTGTCATCATCATCAGCCGTGATCAGTCCACTGCTAAATTTACATAGCAGTTTCCTGAGTGGCGATGTTTACATACCGCACCAGGTACCTATTTAAAGGCTGAGTCAACTTAGAGGAGGCCCAGGACCGGTTCAGATAACTGTCACTGGTGTTGGCCATGAGCGGGAATCAAACTCGTGTCGCCTGGTTTTTAGTGCAGCTCGCTAACCGCTACACTACTGCTCCACAGTAGCAGTCTCACTTACACAGACACTCGTCGCTTGCTTACAAACCTCCCAACCTCCACCGTGAGTTTTTCCCCATTTACGCTGCCGACCATGACGATGCTCCCTTCCCTCCCTCACTCCCTCACTCCCTCGCTCCCTCCTTCCCTCCCTATCGCCGCCGCCGACAGCTCTACTGTGCGCAGCCTGAGTCGGAGCGGCCTCGCATCCTGGGCCTGACGGCCGCCATCTTGGACGGCGAGTGCCGCCCCGGTAGCCTCCAGCGCCGCATCCAGCAGCTGGAGCAGACCCTGCAGAGCAGCGCCGAGACAGCCACCGACCTCGTGGTGCTCGACCGGTGAGTGCCACCGTCGCCATGACCGCCTGCGAGCGAACCTCGCCCACTGTGGCTCCGAGGGTCCCTGCGCTGAGTATCGCACCATCCCTCAACCCTCTACTGCTGCTACCCATGCTTGTCGTTCCTCCATGTGCTTACTATTGTGCCACATGTACTGATTAGTGATTAGCATGGTTGGCTACGTATGGTGCGAAAGAAGTTCCACATACATACTGCCCTCCCCCCACCCTCCTTCCACCCTCTCCCCACCATGGTTGTCCTGCTTACTGCCCTGCCCCCCTTTGATAAATTAACGTACTAGGGCAAGTCCCTAAAAGGGACGCAACTTTATGGAAAAATTTCATTTAGATTGGTTGAACTTTATAAATGCTAATTCGGGACCCCATGTTACAGACGGACAGACGGACAAACAGACAAGCAGCAAGCGTTAAAAATACTTTCAAAGTTGCAGTCAAGCATGCCGCCTTTGCTACACGGGGGGTTGTAACGTGTGGTTGCCGGCGCCCGCCCGTCCTAGGTACTCATCGCAGCCCCACGAGGTGGTGCTGGAGTGTGAGGAGTACGCGGACGCCATCGGGCTCTACGCAGACCTGCGCCGCCAGCTGGAGGACGCCATCGCCTTCGTCACAGACTGCGCCACCAGCGAACAAGGCGAGCGGGACCCCCGGGCGCTACCGCTGCAGGTGGGGGTCGTTGGGCGCCACTCCGATGGGGGAGGGGGGTGGGGGATGGGGGGGGGGGGGCTGGCGGCGAGCTGTGGAGGCGTGCCGTGGAATTTTGTCCCCGGTGCCAGCGTGCGTGAGATGGTTGCGATCGGACGTCGAGCTGTTGCGTGGTACAGGTGACCCCCAACTTACGACGGCTCGAATTGCGACCGCCCCGCTTTTACGACCTTTCTTACACTAACGACTGCTATTGATCCCCGATGTGTAACATTGCGCCTATGGTAAATAAGGGCTTGACTTACGTCGTAGGTGCGGGGGTCACCTGTAGTTGGCGACAAACCCAGCGTGTGACCTCCCTTCCATGCGCACAGATCCTGTCGGAGTGCCACACGGTGCTCACGCTGCTGGGACCCTGGTGCGCCGACAAGGCCGCTGGCCTCATGGTGCGCGAGCTGCAACGGCAGGCGCGGCACGACACCTCCTCCATCACCGCCGTCTCGCCCGACGGCTCCGCGCTGGAGGCCTTGCCGTGCCTCGGCGACGGCAGCCCGCCCGCGCCGCCCGCACAGGGTGCGCAGCAACAGCTGCGGCGCCGCCTCATCCTGCTGGCCGACACGCAGCTGCGCCGGCTGCACGCCATGTGCGAGGGCCGTCTGCCCGCCGCCGCCGGCGGGGCGGGCTCCCTGCCGGCGCCGCTAGGACCACCGTACGTCACACTGAAGGTGGTGCGGCTCCTGGAGGTGCTGCGCGAGTACCGGCCGCTGGAGAGGCCGCAGGCCGTCGGGGTACGAGGTTCACGGCCGCGTTCAGTGTTGTTGTTGTTGTTGGGGAAATTTGCGACGGTAATGATGGCCAACCCTCCCGCTTCTCGCCACTCCCGCTCTGCCACACCTCTGTCCACTCTCTTAGTCAGCGATGACAAAGTGAACTCTGGACGAAAATCGTGGAGGGCGACGATGGCTACGACTGTCACCCACCAGAGACCACGGCACGACTGACCGTGACGAGATTAACCAAGTCTAAATGTAGACGCAGACTCAGATAATTTAGCAACGTTATGAGAGGTTGCAAACATGGGAGTTGACTATATATACATATTTATAGATTTATTTAATTCACTGGCCTGTTAATCATGAGGAGGGGATATGTTTGCCACTCGCACCAATATTTAATATTTATCGACTAAAGGTTCGACTGCTTCGACTGCTTCATCAACTTGACTTAGAGAAAGACCAGACTAATGACTAAAAGTCCACAGGTGGTCATCGATTCCCAGAGCTGGAGCTCGTGGAGTGCAGTCACCGCTGGTTGTAAATTTATCCGAGGTCTGCATCTGCTTCTTGGTCCCACGCAGGCCCAGGGCTACTGCTACCAGAGTGACGAGTGGTACAACAACCGCGGGCAGGCCACCTATGTGTCGTGGAGCGACTCGTCGGAGGATGAGGAGGAGGAGGAAGAAGAGGAGGAGGAGGAAGTGGGGCGGCCGGACGAGGACACCGGCGGTGCTGACGAGCGGGACGCCGGCAACTCCAACTTCCCATCGCCGTTCACTAACATCCTGTGTGGCATCGTGTTCGTGGAGCGGCGCTACATGGCGGTGGTGCTCAACCGGTGAGCTGCGACGTGTGGTTCAGCAACGTGTCGAGTCAGGAGACTGAGCTCAGTCGGTCACTCTTTCATCGAGCTGTTTGATCGTATGACTCGGCAGGTAACGCGAAAATATTTAGACCAAACAGTCGCGCCTCCTCTCCCACGTGTGCCACTGGAGGTGACCAACGGTGCTTGCGGACGTCATTATCATCAGCCGCATCACACTGGGCATGGGTTGCCGGGAGGTTTCCTGCTTTGGAGGGAGGCGGGTTGTCATTGTGGCCGTCATGATTTTCGATCCCGGGCGCAGGCTGATCAAGGAGGCGGGCAAGCAGGACCCCGAGCTGGCGTACATCAGCAGTAACTTCATCACGGGGCACGGCATCGGCAAGAACCAGCCGCGCAGCCGGCACAACGAGGCCGAGTTCCGCAAGCAGGAGGAGGTGAGCGCTGCTGGGTGAGCGCCTCGCTCGGCGCAGCACCCGTGCCCTTTCGGCCGCATGACGGCACCTCATCGTGATCATCCCACTGCCGGGTGAAAGCCTCCCCAAACCAATTCCGTCTCACGGTCCTGCGATAACAACAACCCACCGAGCACCTGCACATGAGCTGATTTTGTTGCGCGTTCCCTCCCTCGGTTGCCGCTCCGACATCCGTCTAGATCACCGGCCATCGTCCCTTCTTTAAGTGACACGTCCTTCTTGACGGTCTAAATTATATTTTTAACCCGCACGTGTATTCTGTAGTCCACGTGTTCCTTTTCCTGATTGATTGGGAGGAGGCGTTCCTCTGCCAGTGCCCAGATGGGTTGATCGTTCTTGATGATGATCGCGATTGATTGTTAACACCCTGCCCCGAGCATGACCGAGCGAAGCGGCAGTTTGCACGGCATTGGCGCTACATTATCTGGCGTTCCGTCATGGAGTTCGGCGCCGACACATCCCGTTTGCTCGCTGTTCCCCCGCGCAAACAGGTGCTGCGCAAGTTCCGCGCGCACGAGACGAACCTGCTGGTGGCGACGAGCGCGGTGGAGGAGGGCGTGGACCTGCCCAAGTGCAACCTGGTGGTGCGATTTGATCCGCCCGCCGATTACCGCTCATACGTGCAGTCCAAGGGCCGCGCCCAGGCACCCGTCTCCAACTATGTCATGCTGGCCGATGCCCAGAGGATGCCTGCCTTCCACCGCGAACTGTGCACCTACAAGGCCATCGAGAAGGTTTGCAAACCGCGCGTTCCACAGCCTGGCTCCCAAGCCCGAGCCATCGCTCTCTCACGCGGCCAAAGCCTTGCATTTGCGCCATCCACATCATGAGCGAGTAGTGGCGCCGCAAGGACCTGGTGTCTGGCGTGGCTAAAGCATCGCCCTGCTGTTTACACGGTGGGGTTAATAGGTGCTGCACAGCAAGTCCTCGCTTTAACGCGTGGTGTTCACGCAATGCTTTTTCGCTATGACGCGGTTCTTCCATGAGGGAACACGGAACACGCGCCGTTATTAACGCAGAGCGCGCACTGTTATAATGCAGAACTCGCATCTTTTTTTACGTGGAAGGTGCCCGTTATAATGCAGTTTCTGAGTGGTCGATGACGAACTACTTTCTTGAGCTGCGTGGCTGAGTGGTACGGTACAGTACACGGAATGATACAGTAACGCGGTGGCGTACCCTCAGTTATTTTTCCTACCATCTTACTGCGTGTACGTAGTACATCGTGTCTCACCAAACTTTATCGTAACATTATTTGTGTTTGCTTAACGTGGAATTTTTCGGAACGCATCTACCGTGTTCAATGCAAACTTACTGTTCGAGTCTCATTATGACCTCTGTTATTGACTTCCCCCGCAGCCTGACCTTCAATGTTCTCTGCACATGCTTGTGTGTGCCCCACTAGTCTGTTTGTAAATATGTCAATTTTTATTGTTAACATTGTACGTTTACATCCTTTGCGCACTATCTTTGGTCTGCACCTCGCATTGTTTTCCAACTTTGCCTGTCCCTCTGTATGGGCCACTTGCATGTCGTCGTCGTCGATAGCGCGCATCTCCCTTGCAAACTCGTTGGCCAATTGGCTAAAACTGTTTTTTCTGTGTAATGCTGAATTGATCGGTGTGCTTCCGCAGATCCTGCGCAGCAAGTGTTCCAAGTGCCCCGAGGCAGTGGAATGCGGCGGTGGCAGCGGCGGTGGCGAGGTAGACGCCTTGGTGGTGAGCTGCCAGGAGGACCTGCTGCCCGCCTATGCACCGCGGCAGGACGAGAGCGGCGCTTCCGTGACCCTCAACTCGGCCATCGGACTCGTCAACCGGTGGGCGACTACACGGCCCGCAGTGTCACCAAGCTTCCGCTGTTGCGTCTGTGCGCAAACGTGTCCCGTGTGTGTGTGCATGTGTCTATCCCCCAACGTGTGCGTTTCACGTTCATTTTCTCGTGAACTAACGGCTCGGATTCCCTGTTGTGTCGCTCGCAATTCCAGCTACTGTGCCAAACTGCCAAGCGACCCCTTCACCCACCTGGCGCCCAAGTGCAAGACGTTGGAGCTGCTGGACGGAACGTTCTGCTCCATGCTGCACCTGCCAATCAACTGCCCGCTCAGGGACCCCGTGGTGGTGCGTTCCCTCCCTCCCCCCACCAGGGTTCAACATCCTCACTTAACGTTAGCGTGGGACGTAGTTGGTAGCGGTTACGATTTAGGGGATTTATTTATCTTACAGGTAAAAGTTTCTGAAGTCTCGTCTAGAGAGGGGCTCTCTAGAGCTCCTTCTAGTTGAGGCCCTACCACCAGCATTTGCGCGAGCGAGCAATTGCAGGGCTGCACCTTGACTTTATTTACAGTTCATATTATCTTTATAAAAGAAAAATTACGGCAATGCTTGCGCGAGTACAAAGCGTCGTGCGTTCGTGCGTGCTTGCGTGTGTGAGCTGTGGGTGTGCATGTGACGGCCTTCATAGTTGTCCGCTAATAGCACTTGCCCCAAAAGTGTTGTTAATGTTATGCGGTGGGGATCTGTCTTTTTTTGTAGGGACCCTGCATGTCCACCAGGAGGCTGGCGGAGAAGGCCGTGGCGTTGCTGTGTTGCGAGCGGCTGCACAAAGCAGGTAGCTGCACCACGCAACACTGCGTCTGGTACCTGTCGTCGTGTTTATATCATTGATCATGAGCTCTGTATCATCAGCGATCTGCTGGACGAGGGCCTCCCCAAGCTGTGTCGATCATTGGGGTTGTTTGACTATACTTCACGCTGGTCAGTACGGATTTATGAAGGACGGGGGATACCGAGGGCCCATTCAGAGGTCTCTCGCTACTGATTTTAGGAATGGCGTGGAATTTAATTCAGATAGCTGGTTGTGTAGCTCGGTATGCTTACCATTGCCCCGCTGCTCCGGGTTAAACGATGAATACACAGAGTAAAAATACTAGCCCCCATCCTTCACATACGTAGAACAGTGGCGTAGCTGCCAGGTATGCAGGCGGTGCAACTGCACTGAGGCCCACAATCCAGAGGGGGGTCCAGGCACCAGGATAACAGACGGGGAAGCGTCATTTCAGTTTTTGCAGCAGGACGCCGCTGACACAAATGCAGCAGAACGTTGAGTAGGAATAGGAGACGCGCTTGCGACGGTCGCGGCAGCGTCCCGGTGCGTCTCCTCCGTCCGCGCGTACTTCCAGGTGAGTTGGACGACCACCTGCTTCCCGTCGGCAAGGAGACGGTGAAGTACGAGGAGGAGCTGGACTTGCACGACGAGGAGGAGACGGGGGTCCCTGGCCGGCCTGGCTCCACCAAGCGCCGCCAGTGCTACACCAAGACGGTACGTCGGTACGGCGAAGGTGAACTCGGGAAATCCGGCATTCCGGGGTAAGCCAGACGGTTACCCGAATTGTTTTTAATACAAAATCAATGAATCCCCCAAAAATCGCCAGTGAAGCTGTGTGCGCAAGGATGCGGCGTGCGTGCGCACTAAATGTTCTAAAGCTTTCTCTTCGATGCCATTTGCTCTACGAGGTGCTCTCATTTTCTCGCATCAACATTTACATTTGTTTTGCAAGCCTATCGGCAGGTCTCTTTGGCCATCCGCCTCCAGTGGGATTACATGGACAGCCAATAAGTGCAACGCGAGTTTTAAACATCGCATGAGCTGTTCGAGAAAGCGATGGGCCTGGCCAGGACACGTCGTGGCTGGAAGGGGGACTTGCTGGCGGTGGTCCTCAACTGATCATTGCAGCTCATGATGTTTGGGCAGCAGGGTGGTTCAGTGGTAACGCTTGTGCCTCAAAGCAAGAAGCACCTGGGTTCAATTCCCTACTTGGCTGCCTAATTGTGCAGAGTTTGTACGTTCTTCCCCTTTTTTGCGTGGGTTTCTTCCGGGTTCTTCCATTTCATCCCATAGCTAATGTTACATAACGATGAAGCTAGTATTGGCCAAAAATCCCAATTCTGAAAAAAAATTACTCAACTGGCATTACACGTAGCAAGATCACCCCCAGACTGCCAAAACTTGGCAGGACCCTCATGACAACCAGTCTTGAGACTCAGTGCAGCTCTCTTGGGTTAACGTGCATAACAACCTAAAATAATAATACTACTACTATGTGGCCACCCACAGATCCCGGAGTGTCTGAACAGCAGCTACCCGCGTCCTGGCAGCCCCTGCTTCCTGTACGTGGTGGGCATGGTACTGAGCACACCGCTACCGGATGAGCTCAACTTCCGCCGCCGGAGGCTGTACCCGCCCGAGGACACGGCGCGCTGCTTCGGCATCCTCACCGCCAAGCGCATTCCGCAGGTAGCGCCGCAGGGCACGCGAGGCGGGGTGGTGACACGCGGGCATCGCTCGCGTGCACTCTGATCCGGCTGCTTGACTGTTACATGACGATCGTTACTTAAGGTGGCACGGAGCCGGGGGGCAAAGTGCTACCGTGTGCCCACCTTTTCCCGTTGCTGTGCGAGTTCATTCGAAGGGATCTCGGAAGTAGTTCTGTGATATACGTTTGTCTTCAAAAGAAACGGCTTATCCCAGATGTCTCGTGGCTTCTCTCGCGTGGCCCCGTCTCCCTGACGTGCCTCCTCGTCCCACAGATCCCGTGCTTCCCCGTGTACACGCGCTCGGGAGAGGTGACGGTGGACATCCGCCTCTGCCGCTCGTGCTTCCAGCTGACGGAGGAGCAGCTGGCGCTGGTGACGCGCTTCCACCAGTATATCTTCTCGCACATCCTGCGCCTTGAGAAGCCCGACCTGGAGTTCCAGCCGGCGCTCGCCGAGGCGGCATACTGTGTGCTGCCCCTCGACACCGGTACCCGCTCGCTCTCTCTACCGCCATCGTCACGTGTTCATCGTAGTTGTGCGTGGGTTATCACCGTCATCGTCACGATCATCGTCGTCATTGTGCCAGCATTGTCGTCGTGATCGTCATCACCACCGTTGCGTGTTAATCATCGTCCTTGATGATCTTGTTATCGTCGACGTCATCGTGTATAATCGTAGTCTCCGGGATTATAAGATACTCCGAAGAGTTAGACGCACCCCAAACTGTTGGTCATTGTTAACAGAGTTATGCCGAACTGTGTCGCACGTACACACCTACGGGGTGGACATCCTGTTGGGAACTCTTCCTCTAGCCGACACTTTTCACCATTATCTAGAAATAATTATTGTCCTCTTGTAAATTAACATACAACTAGAAGCGATCGGTAATCGTGTAAATGGACAGACTGTGGTGGGGGACCGCGAGGACTGGAGTTGAGAAACATTGACATCCAGGCGTGAGACCACTGGGTGTGTGTGGGTGGAGGCTAGTGGGGGGAGGCGGTAGTCATCGCTTCTTAGCGCGCAGCACTACAAACTCAATTCCTGCTCATGACCTAATAACAGTGGTGGATATGTGATTCTGTCCTGGGTCTTCCCGAAGTCAACTCGGCCTCAAAATGTGTGCTTGGGTGCGACGTGTAAACATTCCCACTGGGGAGATGGAGGGTACCGGGCGTGGTGCTGGCCACTCACTCCCACGTGTGCCGTGCCGGCCACCCATCTTCTCGTGTGCCGTGCCGGCCTTCATAGGCGCTACTCACTAGCAGCACCTGTCCCAACAGTCTGTTCACGCTATATGGGGAAACGTTAGCCCCGGTCTCTATCCTCTCCTGCCCTGCCGCCAGTGGACGCAGGCGGTGACCTGGACATCGACTTTGGGTTCATGGAGGAGATCGAGCTGTCGGAGGCGCGGACCGGGATCCCCGCCAAGCAGTACTCGCATGAGCACCCCTTCTCGTTCCTGCTGCCCGACTACCAGGACGCCGTCATCATCCCGCGGTAACCGCCACCCGCTGACGTCGCCGACGCTGCTTAACTCTTCCCTTCCCGCTTTGCTTTGTATGTGTGTATGTCGAACTTCTATTGCACCGTAAGCATCCCACCGCGCTATTCGGAGGTGCGGCGGTAGGACAAACGAACACAACGCAAAGCATTTCTAAAGGAATCAGTTTTCAATCTTGATTTAAAGGTTCGTAGCTCCGGTGGCTTCCAATTAAGTGGCTTTGGCTGTGATCACGGCAGGAGCGCTGGTTTTCTGCAGTGTTAAAAACGTTCAAGTGACTTTGTTTGGCTGTGCTGAATGTACCCGTGCCTGCTACACCAGCACAGCTGTTTTCGCTGGAGGGGGTTCCGATTTTGAGATTCATTGGGGGAAAAAAAAAAAAATCGAAAATGAGGCCTAGATCACCATCATTTCACTTTGGTTTTGCACGATCCGTAAATAAAACATTCACCACATTCGTTATGATCACTGTCGCGTGCCACAGTGTTAATGGTCATTTGCTGTCAAATATGAGATGTTGCTGTATGTAGCTTATAACTTCTAGATTTGAAGTTTTCGTGACTGCAAGGATCCGCTCAAGTATGCGTACTTAAGCAGTTATAGGCATACTTAGCGGTTGTTCTTTCGCTGTGTTTGTCCCCACCTGAAGACGGAAGCTTGTGTTGCGCCCGAAACGTCGTGATTTTATTTAGTTGTTTTCATTTAAATTTATTTCATTTTTTACCTACGTGACTTTACCGAAATAACCAATGTGTATAGCTTATAACTTTTTAAAATTAGTCATTCATGGGTTTTCGGTGGCAGCATCGCAAATTCTTGTACGATCAAAATTGGACAATGAAAGGGAGACATTTTTTTTTGTCGCTTCTACAGATACCGGAACTTCGACCAGCCGCACCGCTTCTACGTTGCGGACGTGTACACGGACCTGACGCCGCTCAGCAAGTTCCCCTCGCCCGAGTACCAGACCTTCGCCGAGTACTACAAGACCAAGTACAACCTGGACCTCACCAACCTGAACCAGCCGCTGCTCGATGTCGACCACACGTCCTCCAGGTGCACCCCCGAGTGTGATTTTAACGCCTTGTATATATGGAAGTTGTTGTTGCTGCCCAGCCTGGTGTGCTCTCGGTCGATCTTTTCCACTGCCACGTCCGAGCTTTGCTAGCGCGGGACCCGCAATGGCATGGCTGGTTATCTGCTGGCTTTTTTCCATGCTGATCCGAAAACCAGACCGTTGATAATACTGGCACGACTCGTTCAGCGGCATGGTTCAGGTTCTGCAGTGGACAAGTTTTTTGTTTTTATTTTGGCCATGTGTCGACCTGAGAGGATATGGCTGCGAACCTCTGGCCTCACGAGACATGTGAATCTGGCGTGGTGCCATGCAGGGCCATGGATGGGGGTTCGGCATATTCATCTAACGTGTCGCGTCAGCCGGGACGCTTGAATGTGCGACGTCGACTTGTTTGCACTTGTATTACTTGTGGCATCGCTGGCACGACTCCGGTTCTGCAGTGGAAAAAGAACCTGGTGCTTCTTTGAGCCGCAAGGGACTGGCTCGGCAAGGTGCCGGTGTAGCTCGGTTGTACAGTGGAAAAGTTGAATAGTCTTGGAGGTGGCTGGGTAGATCTTCTTGGTTCTTTCGGTAAAGTCACATAGAAGGGAAATAATAAAATAATAAAAATAAAACATAATCAAATACAATTCTCACGACGTGACAGCGTCTGAATGAGCACCACCATGCATGGTGGTGCTCATTCAGCACCACCAAGCTTGGTGGTGCTCATTCAGACGCTGTCTTTCCGACAGACCTGTTTTTCACCTGAGGACGGCTGTTTGCGTTGTGGCCAAAACGTCGTGAGAATTGTATTTTATTTTTATTATTTTATTATTTTTCTTCTACGTGACTTTACCGAAAGAACCAAGAAGATGAATCCCTGCAGTCACGAAAGCTTTAAATCGTGGCTGGGTAGCTTACGCGCTCTTCCTCTCTCTCTCTCATGCTTGTCAGTGACACATTCCAACAGCTTGGTGCTTTTGCTTCCCCGTTTGTACAGGCTGAACCTGCTCACTCCCCGACACTTGAACCAGAAGGGGAAGGCTTTGCCCTTGAGCAGTGCGGAAAAACGCAAGGCCAAGTGGGAGAGCCTGCAGAACAAGCAGGTACGCTCGCCGGAGACATCCACACTGCAGCGAACGGTGACATTCACTTAGAACGTTGGCCTTGGTGATGCGCTGACATACAACTCGGTGCTGTAATGCTGTTTGACGTCTAGTAGCATGCGGTGTGCGTTGTGAGTGAGTGAGTAACGAATGAATGTCGTCTTATTCCTCTGTGCCAGCGGTGGGGAAGCAGCTATAGACCGTGCGTGCGCTCCAGATACGGCACGAGACTTTCCATCAAATGGCTCCGTGCCCATTCGAGGCCTACCACTTCGTCGCCGCGATCATCTTAGCTGCACTTATCGTGTGGTGTATTGTAGCTGTCGTTTTCATCATCACCATAATCGTACTCGGCCGTGATCTATCTACTACGCAGCAGCAGAAGCAGCAGCAGCATCATCATGAGCTGTCTCACTCTGCTTTGTGCCTCGTGCTCTCCAGATCCTGGTGCCGGAGCTGTGCGCCATTCACCCGATCCCGGCATCCATGTGGCGCAAGGCTGTGTGCCTGCCGAGCATCTTGTACCGCCTGCACTGCCTGCTCACGGCCGAGGAGCTGAGGGCGCTCATCGCCAGCGAGACGGGCGTGGGGCTGCACGCTCTGCCCACCTCCTTCAGGTGATGCCACTAAATTATTGTTTACACCCATATCCCATCGTACAAGGTGCCAGCAGGATAAGGATTTGTGTTGATTGTAGCAGCCTTTAGTGGCGAGGGCAGAGGTGGTCGGGGGACACATGAAACCATTACTGCGACTTTTATATTTGTGCCTTCCTCCCAATGCGGTTAGGGTTTTTTTTTTTTTACCCGCATAAGGTATGGGATTTAATGTTTACAATTGTACGCATCATCGCCTATATTTCCCCCACCGGCACGTCCTCGTGCAGTTACCGTTTATTACTCCGCCGCTCGCGCAATGCCCACCATGTTGTGAGCAGCGCGGAGCCTCGCCCTGCTCACGCGTTAACGATCGCCGCTGTGCTGCCCCCCGCGCCATGTCGCGCAGGTACCCGAACCTGGACTTCGGGTGGCGGAAATCCATCGACGTGAAAAAGCCGAACGCCGCCGCTTCCGTCGCCGACGAGGACGAAACGGACAGCGACGAAGGCGACGCGGCACGCGACCCGCGACACGACCTTTGCACTTCACCGGCGGCGGGAGCCGGGCTTGAGGCGAGCGACGCAGCTAGCGCGCCCGCGGGGCAACTTGCACTAAACGTATTGAAACAAGAACGTGGGTCTGCGGAAAACTGTAATGGCCAGCAAACGTCACTGCCAGCGTTCGATGCCAATAAGAATGCAGTACTGCAATCTACCTCAACACCTCCCCCCTCTCCTCGTGGTGCGAACGCCGTGCAGCCACCTAGCGCCACGCCAGAGATGAATAATTCGCTGGAGAGTGCCGGTCATTCGGATGGCACAAACGACTGTCTCGCTACCTCTCGACCTGCACCCCCGCCCGGCTCCTCCGGTCGGAAGAGCCCGGACGCGGCTGTGGGAGAACGGGGAGACCTTGAGCGCATGGAGGGTGGCCGCTTGCCGTCCGACAGCCCGATTTTCGTCGGTTCGCAACGATCGGAAGGGACGATAGAATTGATCGAACGAGACCTGCGTCGCGCCACGCTTAACGTCAAATCGGAGGCGGCAGAGTCGCAGGGCAACAATAGCCTCGCGGCGGCGGAAACCGCTATCCGCAATCTCAACAAACTCAACGTTACTTTCGACCCAGCGTTGTCCAACAGCCTCGGGAAGCAGCCACCGGACACTACAAATCACAGAAGAAACGAAAAGCAGATTCCCGCCATCATTGCGAGAGAAGCCCCGAGCAACAACGTCGCGGCGGTGACTCGGGCCGGCAAGGTTTTGGGCTGCGAGGGTAACGGCGGCGGCAGCAGCAGCAGCAGCAGCATCCACGAGGAGGAGGAGCACGGCAGCTCTGGCTCGGGCTGTGGCGAGCTGCCCGGCGAGCTGCCCGGCGAGCTGGCCGGCGAGCTGGCCGGCGAGCTGGCCGGCGAGCTGGCGCCCTCCTCGGTGGTGGCGTCAGCCGTGGGGCCGAACCCGGGGCTGGTGCTGCAGGCGCTCACGCTGTCCAACGCCAGCGACGGGTTCAACCTGGAGCGGCTGGAGATGCTGGGAGACTCGTTCCTGAAGCACGCCATCACCACGTACCTCTTCTGCACCTACCCGGACGCGCACGAGGGCCGCCTCTCCTACATGCGCAGCAAGAAGGTGCCTCGGCGTGTGGAGCCACTGAGCTTCTGCACGCACACGCGCGCGCACGGTCGGTGGGATAAAAGGTAGTGGGTACTTCCATGACGTGTGGCCAGTGTGGACGAGTTGACTACAGATGTCTATTTAAAGCTTTCGTGACTGCAGGGATTCAGAAACTGCAGCAGCAGCAGCAACTGCTGCAGCAGCAGTAACTGCAGCTCCCTTTGATGCTGTTAATCCTGCATAATGCACATGTATATGCAGTACTAATCACATTCCTGCATTTCCCATAAATATGCTAAATTCCTTTTGATATGCAAATTCCTTTGTCAATGCGCCCAGCTTATATATATGCTCCAAGCCCGTGTGCTGTTTCATTCAGACTCTGTCGCCTCGACGGACCTGGTTTTCACCTGAGGACGGCTGCTTGCGTTGTGGCCGAAACGTCGTGAGAATTGTTTTATTATGTTTTATTTTTATTATTTTATTACTTCCCTTCTACGTGACTTTACCGAAAGAACCAAGAAGATACAGATGTCTACTGGACCATCTGTGGAAAAATAGCTTCATAGCTCATTGTATTCCTCCAGTCTAAATACATATTCTGATTCTATCCTCCAAATGAGGGTTGGGGGGGGGAATGTGCTTGAGAGCTCCCTTTAATCGGAAGCACCCCCCCAACCCCTGTTCTGCAAGCAAGCTGTTGCGTCTGTACGTCGCCGCTTGCCGAGACGTTGGCCCTGCTTCCTCGGTGACCTCGTGGGCCCCGCGTGCGTGTCCACAGGTGAGCAACTGCAACCTGTACCGTCTGGGCAAGAAGAAGGGCCTGCCCAACAGGATGGTGGTGTCCATCTTCGACCCGCCCGTCAACTGGCTCCCGCCGGGCTACGTCGTGAACCAGGAGAAGAGCCATTTGGGGGACAGCGACACGGCCAATGACGCTGCTGACGTCGCCCAGGTCCGAGAGAGGCTCTTTTTGTTTGTTTTGTTTTAAGTTGCGCGAAATAACGTTCGGTAAAATGTACGGCCCTTTTTGTCTATCCGCTGCTGGATGAACGGGCCTGCGACCCGCGCGTTTCGGATACAGGGTCGCTCCCCGAAAAAAAAAATATTTTGGATGACGTTCGCACGCTGGTCAGGGTGTGCGGGATAGTGAAGTGGGTTGCCCAGGACCAGTTCAGATATTGCTCTCCGCTGGCATTGGCTGCGGCCAGGAATCGAACTCAGGTTGGCTGGTTCGTAGCATATTGCACTGACATCCTCCGTCGTAATCTTTGATTGCGTTTGGTTTTGTATTTGGACAGCTGTGGTGCACAGGCCTTCGAAGCAGCACTTTGCAGCGGCAGGAGTTGATAAATCTCGTAGATAGTTTTGTAAAACCCAAACTTGCCGGGTTAGAAACTATAAAACTTTATTTTACCAATGAAGGCCCACTGAGCACATGCAAACTCCAAATATACAGCAGGCGTCAGGGTCTGGGTCGAACCCACGACCTCCTGTGTACCAGGCGAGGTAGTTAACATCTCGCCAGAGGTGACTCATGACTCATGACGGTAACCTATGTGCATACGTTGCGCACGTCGCGCATGCACGTCGCGCATGCCACGCATGTCGCGCATGCCCGTCACATGTGCATGTGTTGACCCCTCTGCCCGCAGACCGGCAGTACCAGCAGCAGCAAGAACTCGGCGGCCGACAAAACGGACCCCTCGTCGGGCGACGAGGATGACCCGGAGTTCAACGAGGCCCTCGTGTGGAGGCCGCCCTCGGACGACGACTCCCTTCCCGGTGCCGCCGTGCCCGCCGCCGCCGCCGCCGTCGTGGACGACTCGGAGAACGACTCGGACGAGTTCGACCAAGAGCAGATCCGCTTCATCGACAGCATGCTCATCGGTTCGGGCGCCTTCAAGAAGAAGATCGCCGGTGTGGGAACCAGTGGCTCGGTCCCGTGGGCCGCGAATCGCATCGGGGCCCTCCCTCGCGATGCCGGCGCCGGCTTCACCGGCGGCGGCCGCGGCGGTGTCGGCGGCGGCTGCGGTCACGACGCCACGATGACGCCGTCTGGCGGCGAGTGGACCGACTATAGCTCGTGGGACGCCATGTGCTACCTCGACCCGAGCAAGGCGGCGGGCAACGGCGACGACGACTTCGTGGTGGGCGTGTGGAACCCGGCGGAGGAAAGCGGGGGGGCTGGCGCGGCCGGCGGAACGGGCCCCGCGGGGGAAGGACAACCGGCCTCTGCCGGGGCCGTCGGCGGGGCCCTGGGCAGGCCGTCGATCTCGTACGACCTGCACACGGAGCAGTGCATCGCCGACAAGAGCGTTGCCGACTGTGTCGAGGCGCTGCTGGGCTGCTACCTGACGAGCTGCGGAGAGAGGGCGGCGCAGCTCTTCCTTTGCTCCATGGGCCTCCGGGTGCTGCCGCCGAAGAACAAGGGTGAGACGGGCCTCTCCGTCGTGCCCCGCCGCGGACGGGGCGTCGACCCGCCGTGGCCGGCGGCTGTCGTGGGAGCCTCTGGCAGAATCGGCTTTGGCTCGGAAGCGCAGCCGGAAAAATCCGTCGTTCGGGCACTTTCCAGCTTGTCTCTTACCAACAACGCCGATGCGAGTTTAGCTCCAGACTCCCCCGCATGTGACAATAACAACAAGGCGATGGCAGGAGTTGTTGAAATGCCGCGGAAAGAGGAGCCGAGCCCGGCAGTCGGTGAATGCGATGCGGCGGCGACGGCGGCTCCTGCTGACGACCGGCGCAGCACCGGCGCAGGTGCCGATGCGGCGGTGCCAGGCGAAGGTGCCGGTACGGCGGTGCCGAGCGAATGTGCCGGTGCGACCGCGGAGAGAACGAAAGAGGAAACCGCTGATTGCGAGAGGAAGCAGGAGTACAGCTTTCTTGCCATCCCGCCGCGCTGCATGTTCCACAGGCCCGACGCGATGCAGATCCTCCAGCGTCTCATCTCCGGGTATTCTGGCTTCGAGTCGAAGATAAGCTACTGCTTCTCCAACAAGGCCTATTTGCTGCAGGCCTTCACGCACGCTTCCTACTACTACAACACCATCACAGGTACGGGGACCGTTCTCCTACGGCTGGCACACTTTCACACTTTTTTGGGTTAAATTTGTACGATTCTTTCTCTCCCCCCCCCCGCTCCACCCCATCCTGATTGTGGTGCGATCGTTGTCACGAAGCGTAGGTACCACTTGGCTCATAAAGCATTGGAACACTTGCATGTTGCGCAACATCCCACGGAGCCACCTCTTTCCCAACTGCTCTGTCGGATGAGCATCAAAACAAATTCTTTGTTGATTCTCACGGCTGTAAGTCTGCCAGAGTTACGTGCGGCATGAAACTTAATGTGACGGTTTTTGCGTGCGTTCGCTTGAGACCCATCAACTCGTTTGCACTTGAGAAGCCGGTTTAATCACGGGGCGACTTAAACGCCGAATCTGACCCAGGATCTCGGCGGTGCCGGCTCCAGCACTCCTTCCCGCCATCCGACGACCGCTTCTCCTAAACGGGGGGGGGGGGATGTTTTTTCAATCCTCGAATCCGAGTCGCAGAGGTCGCAATCGGGTACCCGATACCCGTACCCTACCCGATACCCGGCTACCCGTACCCGGCCGGGTACGGGTACGGGTACCCGTTTGCGACCCTGGTGCGGCTGTGTACGGGTAGGCCGTGAGTCACTGGTGAGTAACCGTTTGTCACTCATTTCCCAACGTCTTGTCTCTTCTCACAATTCAAGTTCCTAGAATCAACCCACCCGCGCCTGCAACATGGCTTCATCCCAGAGGTCGCAATCGGGTACCCGATACCCGTACCTGTACCCTACCCGATACCCGGCCGGGTACGGGTAGCCGGGTATCAGATAGGGTACGGGTACCCGTTTGCTACCCTGGTGCGGCCGGGTACGGGTAAGGAATCAAAACCCCTTTGCGACCTCTGCCGAGTCGTGACAATTCGAAACGGCCGTAATTGTTGCGTGCCGCGTGTCCGCCCCCCCCCAGACTGCTACCAGCGTCTGGAGTTCCTGGGCGACGCGATCCTCGACTACCTGATCACGAAGCACTTGTACGAGGACCCACGGCAGCACTCGCCGGGGGTGCTCACCGACCTGCGCTCGGCGCTCGTCAACAACACCATCTTCGCCTCGCTCGCTGTCAAGCACGACTTCCACAAGTTCTTCAAGGCCGTGTCGCCGGAGCTCTTCCTTGTCATCGACGACTTTGTCCGCTTCCAGGCCGAGAAGGACGAGATGCAGGGCATGGACTCGACGGTAACGCGCCCATACTTGGCTCGCTTGGCTTGGCTCGGCTCGGCTCGATCGATTGATCATTCGCTTTGCAGGCTTTTTGAGGTTAAATATCCGCATCAGAATGAGAATTATTATTGAGACTGGAGGAATCCGATGAGCTATGAAGCTTTTTTTCACACATTCAGTAGGGGCAGGTGAGCGAGTTACGTCAACAAACAATACAAAGGATGATATGTAGAGTGGAAAAATAGAGAAAAGGTAAGCAAGTCGCTAAAATCAAATATATATAAATATAAATAAAGTAATTAAGTACAGATTGCACATTCACATAAGATTTCTGCCGATTTGGCAACACCAAATGCAAACTTCGTCAAGACGGTAGAGCGCAGACCACACAAGGACAACACAGTCCCTCATTACGTTGCACATTATGAAATCATTAAAATATCATCATCATCATCATTAAATCTTGACTTAAAGCTTTCGTCACTGCAGGAATTCATGAACTGGTGACTGCGGCCAATGGCAGCGATTTTTTTATATCATGCTTCCCACGGACACAAAGCGGTGTTTGAGATAACAGCTCGGTGAGAAATTGATTGCAGATCAAGTACAACGTTGAGCACGTTACCTGTATGGAGAGCGTACGCAACAGATGTAAAAGCTAAACTGTGCTCGAGAGCTCGTGCTCGTGATGAAAAGCGCCTTTCTTAGCGTTCGATAGGAAAGGCACGCAACTGATGATGAAAGATGCCAGGCGTTGACGAGGACCCGCGTCGTGCACTCCGTCTCCCGCAGCTTCGGCGCTCGGAGGAGGACGATGACGAGAAGGAGGAGGACATCGAGGTGCCAAAGGCCATGGGCGACATCTTCGAGTCGCTCGCTGGAGCCATCTACATGGACAGCGGCATGTCGCTGGAGACCGTGTGGCGTGTCTACTACCCCATGATGCGGCCAGCTCATCGGTACACCCGCCCACCCGTCCCACCACCCCGCCTGCCCGTCCGCCCCCCACCTCGCTCGCCCATCCCCCGCTCGCCCACACCCCCTTCCACCTCTCTTGGCCGCACTCCTACAGAACCGCAGTTCTTGCCAATCGTCGTTGATCCAGCCTGCTGACGTGTCTAGGAGCGGGTGGAGGCAGGGTTGTAGAGGAGCCTATAAACTGGGCCCTGGGATGCCCAGTTTTGCATGATGTGTGCGGATGGTTTCGTATTGTCATCGTTTTTATCGTCGTCGTTATTGTAAACTTCGTCGTTGTTAAAAATCATCGCGACTGTCATTGTCACCACTTGTTGCCATCGCAATTCCAATCGTCAACGAAACCATCTGCTCGCGTCACCTGAGGTTGGAAAGCCTAACGTAGAGGTTTGTTGTTGCCTCCTCAACCTCGGGTATCAGCCACCCATAACCACAAACGTTGCGGTGAAATGGGTTTTTCACAGCATATATAACTATGCTCCCTTGACAAGAAAGCTGCAGAATCTAAGCTGCGTTGAACCCGATTATTATTGTTATTGCTGTTTGCTGAAGGCTTTCCCATTGTAGTTTCTAATGCCGTACTCGGTGCTTCCCGTTTTTGTTTGTTCGTACTTGCAGAGAAGTTCTCGGCGAATGTTCCACGTTCCCCAGTGCGGGAGCTGCTTGGAGATGGAGCCTGAGACGGCCAAATTCAGGTTTGTGTGCACGCGTGCCCACTGGCATCATCAGTATTGATTCGTACAAAACCCAACGTTTTAATATGCACGTATATGTTGAATTTCTTTCGCACTATACTTAGCCAACCGTGCTAACTGGAGGTGCGGGGGAAGGACAACAAACTAAACACAAAAAGCAGTTCTTAAGAAACGAGTTTTCAATCTAGATTTAAAAGTGCGTAGTTCAAGTGGCTTCCTAATATCGGAAGGAAGAGCGTTCCAGACGGCCGCAGAATCGCATCTGAAGGCGCGCGCTGCAGTGACCGTCTTTGTTCGATGGCTTGCATCCAAAAGCCACTGCATTGTTACACACCTAATATTTACCGTTTCATTCCTCGCCGCTAAACTGAACGTCGTCCGTGTTTGTTTCCCTGTTTCCCCCCCCCCGCGTGCCGAGCAGCCCGGCGGAGCGGACCTTCGACGGGAAGGTGCGCGTCACGGTTGAGGTCGTGGGCAAGGGCAAGTTCAAAGGCGTCGGCCGAAGCTACCGCATCGCCAAGTCCGCGGCGGCACGCCGCGCGCTACGCAGCCTCAAGGCCAACCTCCCACAAGGGCAGCCAGCCTTCTGATTTACCACCAGCCACCTGTCATCCATCCAGGCTCTCACTGCCTCCTCGTTCCCCCTCCCCCCATGCCCAAGTTGATGGAGATTTCCTGCTCCCCATTTTCCAGGTTAAAGGGAGTCACTGCCAGCTAGCTGCCCGCTCGCCAAAACAGACGAGTTGCGGTGGTCGTCCTTGAGCTGTGTGCCTAAGCCGTGTGTTTTGAGCTGTCCTCCAGAGTGAGTTTGTGAAGCTTCGTCAATTGGTGGCTGGGCCCTGCTGGCCGAGGTTTCCGAACCGGCCGAGGCCGACTGTGTGCAGCAAAGTCTGCAACAGGTGGAGCTCGCGCGACGACCAGATCTGACGTCGTGGTTACAGCTCGGGTTGTCGTGAGCAAGCCAAGCGGTGGTTCCGAGGACGGGCCCCGCTGCCCGGCTTGGCGCAAATGCACAATGCTAAACAAGTAAATAATCGGGTGTAACGGCAGCATTCGTCTCATACTTTTGAATGCAATTTCACTGCAGTGACGTCACTGGAGCATCCCCCGATTTGTGATTTTTTATCGTATTTTTTTTACTCCTTAACGAAGCTTCTGGCTTGTCAGTCAGCCAGGAACGCACAGCTTAAAGTGGTTATCTTCAACACCAGATTAATTTTTATTGTCGGTAGAGTTGCAAGTCTTCTCTCACCAAGCCTCCTGTTTGCTGATGCCCGGGCAGTTGATCTGAAATTTTGTGAAAAGCAGAACAGCTCCTGAGTCTCTAGGAATGTTATTTTTTTTACGGTGCTGGCTTGACACCAGACTCCACGTCATCTAGACTGGAGGGGACATCCTTCAACTGCTTAGTCTACCCTCATTAAGGCCAACGCATCCTTCCCACGTCCATACCACGTTCCCGTCATCTCGGTAGCGGTGGCAAGAGCGGTCGCTCGTGTTGGATCAAAGGTTAAAACCGGCGTGCACGTGCACACGTGGGTCCTACAGAAACGGAGAGGGACGAGGGTAAAGTGCCGAGCGACGGCGTACGATGCGGAACTGCGCTCGGTGCGTCGGGCTGTGTCGCGATCGTGTCCGTGTTCCGGTCGAGTGGAGAATGCTAGTCGTGGCCGGTGTGACGTCGCGACAGGGGTGGACGGCGGCACCACATGCAGGAGTTGGTGGTGGACATTGAGGGGCGGCGGTGGTTGGAATTTGGGGAAATGGGGATGAGGGGGAAGGAGGCTAAAGAGACGATTTTTCTTGAGATTCACACACACACGGGGGCGACAGTCCTATCTTATTTTTCTCCTTGCCAAACGATAACGGTGGCCCCGTGAGTGCCGTCACGCGAATGGTTTTCAATCCCGAGGTTCTTTGGCATCAGGTTTCATCCTCGTTCCTCTGTGACCCATTGCACTTGCATTTGACTTAGTGGCAGCGCTGGGAAGTCGACATTCCACAATTCGGGGGGGGCGGGGGCGGGGGGAGGCCTCTGAGAAGTTTAGCTTTGAAACCCCCTCGGTCTTTGGGCGTTCGCAAGGCAGGTTCGTCGGGCTCCCGTGTGTGGCTACGCATGGCCATGGGGAGGCACTGAAGTTCGCTTTTTCGCTGTTGTGTTCCTTTTGGTTTGTTAACGCATAATGTCCTGCAACTGATTTTGGGAAGGACCGCAACTTGTAATGCAAGCTGGCTCGTACGCAGCGACGGGGCATGACCTGGGCCCAGACCAATGCTCCCTTTTACGCCCTGGTGTGCAAGTACCGTGCGTGCAATATGTTATGGGGAAAACAATACGGCGCTTTTGTTAAAATCTTTTCACTTTTATCAGGCGATTCAACTTGTACAATATGCTACACTGATTTTGTTAAAAACTAAAAAATCTTTCTCGTAATTTAAAGTTAATATATGCATTTTTTTCTTTCTCAAACTGAAATATACTGTAATTGGAAATCTGTGTGCACGTAAACAATTTATTTTTCGCATGCGCGAAAGTAATTTTAATTTTCTCACCGATTTATCGTCAACTTCATGGGCTGCTCGGTAAATCTGTTAGCTCTGCTCCACGAGCCGTTGAATTGTTAGCGAGTAACGAGCCCGCAACGAGGTCAAACAAGGTCACCGGAAAATCGGCCTCCGCACGTGCACGCGGCTTGCGCATCTCCAAATCGCTCGTTTTTATTTTTCCTACGTTCTTAAATTCACTTAGAGGGGGGGAAAAAAATTATCCCCCTTTGGAATTTTATCACCACCCACCTCGGGGCACGGTCGGGAAAGAAATGCCTTAGTAACGACACTTCAAACAAAACTAGAGCAGCGCAAGCTTTACACGATTTAAGTTTTTGCACTCATTGCGCGCGTTGTGTTTGTTTCGTCTATTATTATTTAATGGGCTTTTGTGTTTCGCTGTCCGTGGTGCCGTTTCGCGAATGGCAGGTGGACGGGGCCCGGTGTGGTGGGACAGTTTGTTTTTCTGTCAGCTCCATCGCCGGCACGGAGCTGCCACTGCTGCCCCTGTGCTGGATGTTGCCGGCGCTCCACCCCCTCACCCCCCCCCCCCGCCCCCCCGCGGTCGATGGCCGATAAGGCACCTTTGCCCTGCGTCCTGCGCGACAGTGAGGTCCGAGCTGTCGACATATCGCGTCGGTGCGTGGGTGGGCCGGTTAGGTGGGGCGGGGGGGGGTTACCTGAGGGAGGGAGGCATTGATGGTTTCCAACATTTACTACCTCATCGCAGTGATTCCTTTCGCCGGAGTGCGCGTGTGCCGCCCAGTTTGTGGTGTCTCCGCAGCTGTGCCGCTCCCACCTGGAGCCGAGCGGCCGAAGCGAAGCTCATTTACGCACGAATCGGGTCGTCCTCGGTATCGTGGGTTCGAACTATGTCCGCCGGGGATTCCGAGATGGCGGCTGCAGGACTGGTCTGGCGAGCTCACGGTCGTCGCTCGCTTTTTTGCGCCGTCGTGGCGGACGGGCCTGCGTCGTCCTGAGATGTCTTTTTCCAATCTTAACAACAAGAAGTCTTTACAAAAACATTCACCGATCTTGAACGTTCTTAGCACTGGATGACAATGCGGTGGCGACGATAATGATGATGTATACTTATTTAAGAATGCCCCATTGGGCCTCGTGGCATCTTTATAGCAGATCTCGCAGGAGTGGAATGCTGCTGCTGGTGAGAAGCCCGGTCGATGCGCTGTCCGTTTACCAGCTGGTCGCCCGTAGGTGTCGGTGGGGGGGCGTGTGGACTAAGTTCTTGGTCCTCTCCAAGATTTGGGAATTCACATCACCAGCGCATATTCTCTTTATCGTGACAGACTTCTTAGAAGCGTCTCACCCCCAGTTTGGCGCTCGTGCCCTTTGAGTGCCAAACCCCCCCCCCCCCCCCCCTCTCAAGAGGGTGGCTGGTGGTGAGCTTTTCTTGGTCAGATTTCAGGCTTACACACTGCGTTCGACAGATTACCTTTAATGTATGTATGTATGTACATAGCTCTATATATAGTGATATTATTGAAATCACTCGTGCACACACGCGGGCCCATAAGATGCTGCATTCTGTGTCCAGACGATGCTCCGAACGATATTTTTGCGAGGTTTTTTGTTGTTGTTGAAATGTTCGGGGTCGGGCCTGGTGCTTGTGGTTCACCCTCTGTCAAATGCTGCATTGAAACACATCTACCTATTTTTTAGACACGTATCGTTTTTCTATCGTATTACTGAATAACTGGATGCAAGCGTGTGTGTGCGCGCGCGTTTGTAGGGGGGAGGGGGTTATGGAACTGGGAGACGGAGTGGGGGGGGGGGGGGTGAAATCCCAAGTATTTTAAACAAATAGGGCAGACTCGGGGAATGGGAAGCGTTTTGCAGAAACGGCTCGTGCAGCCCCCGGATGAAACTGATGAATAACAAACGCTTTGTCCCGGGTGACAGAAAACTTAGCAGAAGACAAAAAAAAATACAAATGACAACAGCAACAACAATTGCACTATGTATTTCAGAATGTGTGTGGTTTATTTTGTTGGGATCAGGTTTCGCCGATAGGTTCTTATTTAATAACGGCAGTCGTTCGTGTCTCGGCTCGGTTCTTCCTTGAGCCGCTCTCGCCCCCGGAGATGGCGCTACGATGCAGGGGCGTGAGGGACGGGTGGCAGGATGGGGGACGTGGGACGTTGTCCCGGTCCCAGTGTTTACGATCAAGGCCCCCCCGGTGCCAGCGACCACACAGCTCTGACCGCCGCGTGTCGGGCGTGTAGGGCAGGACGCCCGCAGCAACAGCAGTATCGGTCAAGCGCCGTGCGCGCAAACTCGTCACGGCTGTCTCGCGTCTAACCCATTCCCCACCCCCAACCACTGCCGCACGCAGCTTCTCGTGTACCGCAGTGGGACCATGCGTCGTTCCGTCGTGGATCTGAGTTGACGCCGTTTATAATCTCGTGGGGAGGTGGGGGGGGTGGATGATGGGTGCACGGACCTCGGGCTGTGCGGTGTGTCGCCCGGGGTGCTTCCGCTCAGGTTGCCCGCGACACTTCCTGGGGGTTTCCGTGAGGAGGTCCAAAAGAACGGCGAGGTAGCTCTATGTTGTGGACGCGAACCGAGGATGGGTGGTCCCCTGGCCTGTCCGAAAACAAACACACACACGAGTTTGAAGCTTCGTTATCGGTCAAAATGCCTGCGGTCATACAAGTGACGAATCTCGCCTGGAAATATGCCCGATCTCGTAACGTCTCAGGAGCTAAGCAGAATGTTGAGCCTGGATAGTGCTTCGAAGGGCGACCTGCATTCACAAAGACAAGTGTCGCAGGCTGCAGAGGGCAATGCAGCGATTTCCGGTGTTGTACTGTAGTATGCTCCCAGCACCTACATCCCCTGCCTTCAACCCGCACCGACAAGTGTGGGTTGACGGCACAGGGGGCTGGCTGTACGCTGAGGAAAAACGAATACTTTCGAGTGACTTTTATGTGCGCGCTCCGGTGTCATCACCGACCGACTTGATTTCCATTAAATTTTAATCCATCCGCTACTCTCGCATCACGAGGGCTATTTGATTATTATTCAATAACGAAGCTTCTGACTTGCGTTGGGACAGCCACAGGAGGTTTAACGTAGGTGTGTAACTGCAATACGAGAGCTGTTGCGTCCTTTTAATCGACGTTCTGGATTTTTTTTCGGAGCCGTTTTCCCTATGCTGGGAATTTTCACTCCTGGCTTAGTTGACGGTCGGTCTGGACCTGCAGGTGTTGAACCCTGACCACGGCTTCGGTTTGTGGGGGGGGGGGGTGGGTTGGTCGGTCCTCTTGTACCTCTTTTTCCATTGCACAATCAAGCCATGCCGTGGCCGAACCGAGCCAGCACGGCGCCAGGTTGTTGTTTTTTCCACTGCATAACTCGAGCCGTGTTGCTGACGTCGCACGCAACAGGAAAATTGAATAGCCTTGCCCCTGGACCCTTGGGAACTCGAGCCAGATTCAGATATCTAAGTGAGGCCGGGCATTTGCACGGATTGAGTTCTGACTTGGCTCTGCAAATTGCCAGTGGGGAAAACCATCCCCTACCCGCGGAGGGCATCGCACTGTGACCGGCGCGCATCGTTCAGATGTTCCAGTGGAAAAATTGCGTGATTTTATTTTGGCACTCATTCTTTTTCAAATACCTCAATACTATTATTGATTTGCATGCACATTGCATCTGGTGCTGTTTTGTTATTTTTGTTCTATTTTTGTTTTGTTACATGCTTGAATTCTTTTTTTTGCACTGCCCTCTCTTGAGTGATACCTCGACAGGCGCTGTTCACGATCCTAATCAAAGCAACTTCTCTGTTTCCTCTGCAGAGCCCAGCAAAACCATTGCCCCTTGGCTATAATCATTGTTATTATTTTGTATCATCACTACTATATTATTAATGCATATATTAACTTGTTTTGTGAAACCCATTTACCACTTGGTGGAAAATAATAAAAAAATGCAGCTTATCAAAAAGTTAGAAATTTTCTCGGTGCATTCCCACGGCAGAAAATAGCCGGACGTATTGAAATGTTCTGCGGTAATTTCGTAACTTTTCTCTGAACGATTCGGGATGCAGCTGGTGGTGAAAATGCAAGATTCTTTCAACGCAGTCGTTTGGAATGTGAAAAACTGGTGCTCGGCAATGTATCATTGCTCCACGTTCGGTTAAGTGCACTGCTGGTATGTGTGTATACTAACAGACACAAACACACGTTTGTTTTTATATATCTACGTGTTTAGTTTCGAGCACATGTATGTATTTGACACGGGACAAGGCTTTGGTTGCCTCTGTTCAGCAGCCGTTCTTCGCACGTGAATGGTCTTTGGTTCACTCTCCCGTTGGACGCATGATGGGGTGGCTCGGTGGGTCTATCGCCTCACTTACTTGAAGGTCGAGAGGGGGGGCGGGCGAGAGGAGTGGGGGGGGTGTCGGTGTGTGTGTGTCTTTTGGAGTGCGAGACGAGGGTTGAGTGCCACGTGCGTGCAGAGAGATTGTCAAGAGGCAGTTTGGAGCGAGGTGTTAAGGGGGTCTCGATGTCGGTTGCTCATTGCTGCTTTGTGGATGTTCTAGATGGGGTTGTTATCGATTATCGAGTGTTTTTTTGTAATGTTTAAATAATTAGTTGTTCTACAAGAAGAAGAACAAAAACTCTGCACGGAATCGATAGCCGAATCCGGTTGAGCGTCCGTCCGGTAGCGATCGTTTAATGGAGCATTCGCACCGTCGCCGCGGATTCCAGCCCTAATTAGTCCACTTGGCAACCAAACCCATGGGATACAGAACTTGTATATTGAAACTTACCGCACTTTGTCGGTCCACTGCTGGATGAGGGCGTCATCACACCGCCGTTTCAGAAATGTGGGGTGGGTGGGGGGGGGGTGCTTCGTTGACCATACTTGAGCAGTCTGCTCAGTACCGAATGTCTGGAGGTTTGTGAACCGATACATTTTGTCGATTTTTTTTCTCCCCATTTGGCATCGTCTTGTTTGCATGTGATTATCGACATCGCTTAGTTCAGGGGTGGGGAACGTCCGGCCCGCGGGCCGCATTAGGCCCGCGAAATCATTTGGTGTGGCCCTGCCAAGGCAACCGCAGGCGGGACTCGAAATTCAATAAATCTAGGAGCAAACCTGGAAAAGCAGTTGCGAGTAGCAACATCATCAATACCAGCTAACATCACATGCCTCGCCAAAGAGAAGCAGTTCCAGCCATCATCACATTAGGGGCGAGTTAATGAAATGTTTGACCGAATATAACAGGCACATTTTTAAGTTGACCATTTTGTATGTCCCGCGAATAATGTATAAATATCCAAATGACCCTTGGCAGAAAAAACGTTCCCCACCCCTGCCTTAGTTGAACACTGATTACGAACATCCCTACGTCGAGACCTAGAGCGAGCAAACTGGACAGCTCCCAAACGACGACGACGACGGGATGTCTACGCGTCAGTCTGCCTTTGACACGTCATGAACAAGCCAAGTGTCGTGTGTGTGTGTGTGTACTGCTGTAATGTTTTGCTTTGGTGGCGGCTGTGAATTTTGCATTTCCGCGTCGCCAATCCCATGACCCCCTTCCCCTCTCCCCCCCGTGCACGTTTCGTTCACGCTACGGCGGGGTGGGGGGGGGGGAGTCGTCGGTCCCCTAGCAGTCGAGAGGCAGAGGTCGCAAACGTGTTTTGATTCCTTACCCGTACCCGGCCGCACCAGGGTCGCAAACGGCTACCCGTACCCGGCCGGGTACGGGTAGCCGGGTATCGGGTAGGGTACGGGTAATCGGGTACCCGGTTGCGACCTCTGGTGAGAGGGCCTGGTGGGGAGGCTGGTGGTGTGCAACCTCGTTGCTCTTGCCCGTGTGATCGCCGTTCGTCCGCGTCAAGTCTGGTGGGGTTGTCCGTCGAGATGATTGTGCCTTTGCGTCATATGGTCGTGGAGAAATTAGCGTCTCTCAAAAATCGTCACTTTTGTCGAGACGTGTAGCTCTGCCCCCCCCACCCCCCCCCCCCGTTCCTAAGGTATTACATTACTTTGTTAAGTGTTTTTTTAGGAGATGCTATCATTATTATTCCTATTAATATCACCGTTTTAAATCGAATCGTTTGGAATGCAGGTTTTAGGGCTAAATTGTGGGCGTTGCGCGGTCATTTTTAGTCACAATTGTCACGTTTTTAGGGTCATCTACGTATCGAGTGTCATCGCGTCGCAATGTAACTCTGCTTTACTGCTTTCGACTTCACCATTCTTTGCCACTGCTGCTCCACGTGTGCCAGTGTGATTGAGCGTGTGGGCAGCGGTGAGCGCGCTGCGGCGACCCGAGTTCGATACCCGCTCGTAGCCAACATCGGTGACGAATATCTGAACATCAGCAGTTGGGGGGGGGGGTGGGGGGAGACAAATGTGGCCGGGAGTGATGCCGGCCAACCACCCCCTCGTGTGCCGTGTTGGCCTTCATAGGTGCTCGCAAATAGCACTTGCCCCAACGGTCTGATGAAGCTATACGGGGATCTTTGTCTTTGTGGATGTTGAGACCAGTCAAAGTAAAATCTTTATTGGCTTAAAATAAAATAAGGCATTTGGACAATTCTGACGTGCAGCTCTCGCTAAGATAGAAAAAAAAATCATGCGTGTGTCTTAATAAAAAATAATCCCCACCCTCGTATCGACTGTAACATGTTTATATTCTGTGTTTGTACGCCTTCAATTACTTGTTTTGATATATACTTACGTATATTAAACTCTGTTTGAAATGTAAGACGTTACACTCGGTGACGGAAGTGCATTTTGTGAAAGAGATGCGAAAATGTGCCGGTTCAACCTCATCCATTGCCACCTGCCATTGGGGGGAGGTCAGCAATGGGGAGTGGCTTACTGAGGGTGGGCGGGGCTTATTATTCAAATTTGAAACTAGACCCCACCCCCTAATCAGCCCAGACAACCGTTCATGCTGGCACTCTCGGTCGTTGAGGGGCCGTCCATAAATGACGTCACGCACCTGGGGGGGGGGGGGGGCGTCAGACATTTGTGACGAGGGGGGCGGGGGGTTGAGAAATGTGACGCCACATCAAAATGCGCAACTTTAAATAAATATAGACACAACACGTTCTACTTGAATAAATAGACTTTTTAATAAATGTTTTCTCCTACAACATCAGAGTGCAGCGCCACATTAAATACGCACTACAATTACAATAGTTTAAAGCGATTTGAAGCGTTTTTTTTAGGGGGGGGGGGGCAGAGTTTTGTGACGTCATATTTGAGGGGGGGGGGGTCTCACTTTTTATGACGCCGTGTGACGAGGGGGTGGGGGGTCAAAAATCGTCCAAAAAAGCGTGACGTCATTTATGGACGGCCCCTGATGAGAATATCACGATGCAACACACGCATCGTTCTCAACCGAGAACATTTCTCATTCGTATCGCGTGAAGTGTTCACGCGACCTCCTGCAGCCGCTAGAGGCCGCTGCATTCTCAGTGTCACCACTGCCCATTGTTGTATCGCAACAACAGCAGCAGGTGGCGACGGTGTCGGAGTCGGTGGGATGAGAGTGGGTGATACGCTGCGTCTCCCTCCACGTTCATGGCTGGGGGTGGTCGTGGGTGGTGGACAGAAATTGGTTACCAGCCCCCTGGGCTTGACCCGCAGCGGTTATTATTTGTTTGTTTTTGAACACGGTGATTTAGAGTGGATCAAAGTGATGAGCGCACTCACGTCAAGCGGTTATCGTGTACTCCAATCGTCATTTGGCCACATGGAGAACATGGGGACGCCACCAGCGATGTGTTGTGTTGCTTTATTCGGGTTAGGGGTGTTCGAGAAGATACCAGGAAGTTACGTCTCATTAGCAAATTGTAAGCCGTTTAGGGTGGGGGAGCATTAGTCTTCCAGTAGAAGAGCCTGGGGGGTGGGGGGGGGGACATTAGTCTGCCAGTAGTAGGGTCTGGGGGGTGGGGGCATTAGTCTGCCAGTAGTAGGGTCTGGGGGGTGGGGGCATTAGTCTGCCAGTAGTAGGGTCTGGGGGGTGGGGGCATTCATCTGCCAGTAGTAGGGTCTGGGGGGTGGGGGCATTAGTCTGCCAGTAGTAGGGTCTGGGGGGTGGGGGCATTAGTCTGCCAGTAGTAGGGTCTTGGGGGTGGGGGCATTAGTCTGCCAGTAGTAGGGTCTTGGGGGTGGGGGCATTCATCTGCCAGTAGTAGGGTCTGGGGGGTGGGGGCATTAGTCTGCCAGTAGTAGGGTCTGGGGGGTGGGGGCATTAGTCTGCCAGTAGTAGGGTCTGGGGGGTGGGGGCATTAGTCTGCCAGTAGTAGGGTCTGGGGGGTGGGGGCATTAGTCTGCCAGTAGTAGGGTCTGGGGGGTGGGGGCATTAGTCTGCCAGTAGTAGGGTCTGGGGGGTGGGGGCATTCAGTCTGCCAGTAGTAGGGTCTGGGGGGTGGGGGCATTAGTCTGCCAGTAGTAGGGTCTGGGGGGTGGGGGCATTAGTCTGCCAGTAGTAGGGTCTGGGGGGTGGGGGCATTAGTCTGCCAGTAGTAGGGTCTGGGGGGTGGGGGCATTAGTCTGCCAGTAGTAGGGTCTGGGGGGTGGGGGCATTAGTCTGCCAGTAGTAGGGTCTGGGGGGTGGGGGCATTAGTCTGCCAGTAGTAGGGTCTGGGGGGTGGGGGCATTAGTCTGCCAGTAGTAGGGTCTGGGGGGTGGGGGCATTAGTCTGCCAGTAGTAGGGTCTGGGGGGTGGGGGCATTAGTCTGCCAGTAGTAGGGTCTGGGGGGTGGGGGCATTAGTCTGCCAGTAGTAGGGTCTGGGGGTGGGGGCATTAGTCTGCCAGTAGTAGGGTCTGGGGGGTGGGGGCATTAGTCTGCCAGTAGTAGGGTCTGGGGGGTGGGGGCATTCATCTGCCAGTAGTAGGGTCTGGGGGGTGGGGGCATTAGTCTGCCAGTAGTAGGGTCTGGGGGGTGGGGGCATTAGTCTGCCAGTAGTAGGGTCTGGGGGGTGGGGGCATTAGTCTGCCAGTAGTAGGGTCTGGGGGGTGGGGGCATTAGTCTGCCAGTAGTAGGGTCTGGGGGGTGGGGGCATTAGTCTGCCAGTAGTAGGGGGGGGGCAATGATTGCTTGCCCCTCCCCGGTTGCTTGCCCCTTGGAGAAACACTGAACATTGCTGTTACGTTTTTGGTTGGTATCAATACTGTAATGTTTTATAGATAAGATTTCGCACCCACACACGTGAATATAAAGAAAAACAACGCACGATGTTTTATTGCGCACAGTTTTCACAAGTGACACTCACGTTTGTAAATTGTAAACGGCGCCTTTCCGTGCAAACTATTCCAAGACACAAATTAGCTCTGCAGGCTCAACGTAATTAAAAGGACGCTTCCCCCTTGCGACATCCCCTGCCTGCCGCGTGCTGGGCGGTACGCACAGGTTCCACAAACGTTCCTAAAACGTTCCACACGCGTCGCATTTAAACGGTGTCTTCCCCCCCCACAATCCACCACCCTCGTCATCACAAACTCCACGGCACCACCCTCGTCAACACAAACTCCACGGCACCACCCTCGTCAACACAACAAACTCCACGGCACCACCCTCGTCATCACAAACTCCACGGCACCACCCTCGTCATCACAAACTCCACCCTCGTCATCACAAACTCCACAGCACCACCCTCGTCATCACAAACTCCACGGCACCACCCTCGTCAACACAACAAACTCCACGGCACCACCCTCGTCATCACAAACTCCACGGCACCACCCTCGTCATCACAAACTCCACAGCACCACCCTCGTCAACACAAACTCCACGGCAGTATCCCTCGTCATCACAAACTCCACGGCACCACCCTCGTCATCACAACAAACTCCACGGCACCACCCTCGTCATCACAAACTCCACAGCACCACCCTCGTCATCACAAACTCCACGGCACCACCCTCGTCAACACAAACTCCATGTCACCACCCTCGTCATCACAAACTCCACAGCACCACCCTCGTCAATACAAACTCCACAGCATCACCCTCGTCATCACAAACTCCACGTCACCACCCTCGTCAACACAAACTCCACGGCACCACCCTCGTCATCACAAACTCCACAGCACCACCCTCGTCATCACAACAAACTCCACGGCACCACCCTCGTCAACACAAACTCCACGGCATCACCCTCGTCACAACAAACTCCACAGCATCACCCTCGTCATCACAACAAACTCCACGGCACCACCCTCGTCATCACAACAAACTCCACGGCACCACCCTCGTCAACACAAACTCCACGGCACCACCCTCGTCATCACAAACTCCACGGCACCACCCTCGTCAACACAAACTCCACGGCAGTATCCCTCGTCATCACAAACTCCACGGCACCACCCTCGTCATCACAACAAACTCCACGGCACCACCCTCGTCATCACAAACTCCACAGCACCACCCTCGTCATCACAAACTCCACGGCACCACCCTCGTCAACACAAACTCCATGTCACCACCCTCGTCATCACAAACTCCACAGCACCACCCTCGTCAATACAAACTCCACAGCATCACCCTCGTCATCACAAACTCCACGTCACCACCCTCGTCAACACAAACTCCACGGCACCACCCTCGTCATCACAAACTCCACAGCACCACCCTCGTCATCACAACAAACTCCACGGCACCACCCTCGTCAACACAAACTCCACGGCATCACCCTCGTCACAACAAACTCCACAGCATCACCCTCGTCATCACAACAAACTCCACGGCACCACCCTCGTCATCACAACAAACTCCACGGCACCACCCTCGTCAACACAAACTCCACGGCACCACCCTCGTCATCACAAACTCCACGGCACCACCCTCGTCAACACAAACTCCACGGCAGTATCCCTCGTCATCACAAACTCCACGGCACCACCCTCGTCATCACAACAAACTCCACGGCACCACCCTCGTCATCACAAACTCCACAGCACCACCCTCGTCATCACAAACTCCACGGCACCACCCTCGTCAACACAAACTCCATGTCACCACCCTCGTCATCACAAACTCCACAGCACCACCCTCGTCAATACAAACTCCACAGCATCACCCTCGTCATCACAAACTCCACGTCACCACCCTCGTCAACACAAACTCCACGGCACCACCCTCGTCATCACAAACTCCACAGCACCACCCTCGTCATCACAACAAACTCCACGGCACCACCCTCATCAACACAAACTCCACGGCATCACCCTCGTCACAACAAACTCCACAGCATCACCCTCGTCATCACAACAAACTCCACGGCACCACCCTCGTCATCACAACAAACTCCACGGCACCACCCTCGTCAACACAAACTCCACGTCACCACCCTCGTCATCACAAACTCCACGGCACCACCCTCGTCATCACAAACTCCACCCTCGTCAACACAAACTCCACGGCACCACCCTCGTCATCACAAACTCCACCCTCGTCAACACAAACTCCACAGCACCACCCTCGTCATCACAAACTCCACAGCACCACCCTCGTCAACACAAACTCCACAGCACCACCCTCGTCATCACAAACTCCACAGCACCACCCTCGTCATCACAAACTCCACAGCACCACCCTCGTCAACACAAACTCCACGGCACCACCCTCGTCATCACAAACTCCACGGCACCACCCTCGTCATCACAAACTCCACCCTCGTCAACACAAACTCCACGGCGCCACCCTCGTCAACACAAACTTCACGGCACCACCCTCGTCATCACAAACTCCACGGCACCACCCTCGTCATCACAAACTCCACGGCACCACCCTCGTCATCACAAACTCCACGGCACCACCCTCG